TATTGATTTATTTGATATAATATAATTGTTTTTATGAAAATATACACTGTAGAGTGCGTGGCCACTAAACAGTACTACACATCGGGACGTTCCTGAGCAAAGGTGAGTAAGTTTGGTGTTACATTGCTTACTTTGGGGTGTTGGTTTAGGGTGGGTGGAAGACGTCCTTCCCGACGAAATCGTATTTCTCCGTTTCTAATAATTATTTTCTTTTCAATAAATACAATCTACTCTATATTTTTATTCTTTACTATCTGATCACGCGAACTCCTTTTCGCCTCAAAATTAAATATGTTAAAGGTTTTTTGAAGTTATGTTGGGCAATAAATTTCTGAACGCACCCTATCTGACAGGTATCAGCAGTTTGTATAGGAAAATAAATTTGTTGTTTTTACTATTTTACATGCAATTTCTTCATATTTTACCACCGTTTAAACCTACTGGACTTCCACGAATATTTCAGGACTAAAATTAGCCAAATCGGTTCAGCCGTTCTCGAGTTTTACCGAGACTAACGAACAGCAATTAATTTTTATATATAGAAGATGTGATTAGATTAACTAATGTATAAGCTATGTTACTGTAAAGTTTCATCAAATTCCGTTCAGTAGTTTTTGCGTGAAAGAGTAACAAACATGCATTCATACTAACAAACTTTCGCGTTTATAATATTTATAAGAGTTTGTGAAGGCGTGAATGCAGAATGGTAAATTTTTTTTAATATTATGTATAACAATTACAATAAATCAATAAAAAAAATTTTACACACATTACAATATATTTAACACACATAGAAGTATAATCTTGGACAATACAATCTTAAATCTTAATAATGTTGAAACTTATAATTTTTATTATAATTGTGGTCGAATGTCGACCATTTATTACACACAGCGCCATCTAGTCCCAAGTTAAGCTATCTAAAGTGTTACGGGTACTAGATAACGGATTTTCTTAAATACATACATATTATACATAGAAAACACCCAGACCGATACAAACAATGATTGTATGTGATGATGACTCATGAATACAAATGTTTGTGCCGTGCGAGGAATCGAACCCGCGACCATCGGACGTAAAGCGGTGTGCTAGACCGCTAGATCACCGAGGTCATATAATGGTGCAGTACAACATAAATAAGTATTACGTAAGCACTATGGGGTGGGGAGTTTTACTTCGCTTATTTTGGATGACATGGGGGGGGGGAGTATAGAGGATTACGACATCGGTAGTTATTTACTTTTTTAGGTAGGGGGTGGGGGAGGGGGGTTTGCTTACTTTTGCTAAAGATAACATAGTATTACATACTTTTGCCAACAAGGGGGATGGGGGTGGTAATTAATTTTAGTAATCTCATTTATTAAAGATCTGCTTAAGCAGCTTTAGCTTTGCTTACTTTTATGTAAGCCACAGATAACATAATATTACATACTTTTGCCGACAAGGGGGATGGGGGTGGTAATTAATTTTAAAAATCTAATTTATTAAAGATCTGCTTACGTAATACTTGAACGGCCTCATATCTATTTCAATAAACAATACATTGAAGCTAACATGTTCAAATTTAAAACGTCAGCTGTTCATTCTCACGGTTGTTTCCTCATTATTGAAACTGTTACCAGTCGTTATGACGCCTTATCGTTGTTTATTCATGTAAGTACAGTACGGTTTACAAGCATTTTCAAAACTAACCCATTCGCCGAAGCAAAAGGAAGAAAAAAAAATTGCTAGCACATTGGACTTCCTACAAGTTTCTTGCTCGTTCTTCTTGTGATGAGACAGCTTTCCGAACGAGTGGTAGATAAAAAACAAATTGTTATGACTATTTAAAAGTGCTTAAATTAAGTTTATTTGAATAAATGATTTTCTATTCTATTCTATTTTATTCCTAAGATATGGTCGAACGCAGTGATTGCTGACTCATCCGTCATACTCGGGAACGAGTGCTGCTTGTAGGGACTGATCTCTAATCTTATTTGTATTATGGTGTACCAGCTTTTACCCGCGGCTTCGTTCGGATAACTTCATTATCGGCTGCTAGATGGCGCTGAAGTAGCAAAATGTTATTTTTTTATAGGAAATTTTTGTTTTTTTTAGTTAAAGAGTATCCTATGATCATTCTAATACTTCCAAGAACATGTGTACAAAATTACATGATGATCGGTTTAGTAGTTTTTGCGTGAAAGCTTAACAAACATCCCTACTTTCGCATTTATAATATTAGTTAGAACTTTATATTTTTATTATATTTTGTACTACATATAAATATTTTGACTAATAAATTAGTGTTAGTAGGTAGTTTGTATTCACACATTCCAACTTAAAAATGTAGTTACAATTATTTAAAAGAGCAACACTCAAGTTTCTTGCTCGTTCTTCTTGTGATGAGACGACTTTCGAATGGGCCGTATATAAAAATATAATAATATGACTATTCAAAAGTGCTTAAATTAAGTTTAATTGAATAATGGACTTTCTATCCATTGTTGTTCTATTGCAGCTGATCAGCGCAGCTTCGTCTTCGTCAGATTCCTCTGTTTTTACAATGTTTTACATTGCAGCTCGCAGCTCTGCTCCTATTGGTCGTAGCGTGATGTTATATAGCCTATTGTATTCTAAAGTTATTATAATAAATAAGCAGAATGTCATAGTTATATTGAGTTTATTTGAATAGAAAAGAAATAATCCTAGACAATTGACACAGCGTGATCTATATCTACAGAAAGGAGAGCTTGTGGGTACCAGGCAACTGATATAAATACATAGATACTTTTTTTCTTTTAACTTTGTTCTTTGCCTGGTTTCTTTGAATATGCATATTAACGTTACTAATAAAATAGAGTGAAAATGATTTTTACCCAAATGCTTTATTAGTTGTTTGATAAAAAGCAAATAATACATACTATTCTTGAATTTACCTAAACCATTGACTTGTTTTCGTAAACATATATATATAATATACATAGAAAACACCCAGACCGATACAAACATACTAATTACAAATGTTTGTTCCGTGCGAGGAATCGAACCCGCGACCATCGGAAGTAAAGCGGTGTGCTAAATCGTTATACCACCGAGACCGTCAAATAAAAGAAGGTTATTTCTATTTCTATCGCATAGAAATAAATGTCGAACTTTACCACTCGGTTGTCCGATAAACAACGAAGGGTAACATTGTTACCATTGAATTTAAGCATCACGCCCTGTTATGAATAATTTATTTACCTCAGTATCAATCACTTCGAAGCATTTTGTGTCTATATAGTAGATATATTAGGCCTTCCGAGCACAAATCGGTTTTCTTTGCAATCTAATTTTAATAATATTACCAAATACACATAACCTTCTATCAACACCTACAGAATAAATTACTAAGTATACTGATCTAGCAATAGAATTAAAACTGCAATGGCAGGTAGAAACAGTAAAAACTCTCCCAATTATTATTTCGTCCACATGTAGGTACATACTTACACACTAGCCTCAAAATATTACTGCTTCACCCACTTACTTTCATACTTCTCCAAAAAGCTATAATTCTAAACATCTGTAGAATATATATATTATTCTTTATTGTACACACACACACATAATAAAAGAAATTATATAGAATAAATGTAACGTACAAGAGCGAGCTTATCTCTAAAAAGAGATTTCTTCCAGCAAACCTAGAAAATGTTATAGGATCGTGTATTAAATAGAATAGTCATACATACGTGTACGAAAAGAGGAGATATTAAAATATTGTTCTAATGATATTAACTATAAGTATCAATAGACATACATAAATGGTACATAAATAAATTTAATAGGAATAAGGAATAGTCGGCAAATATTTGTCATCATAATCATTTACCCGCAATAACAGGTTTAACACCATCAAAGGGAGATATATAATATATATATATATATATAAAAAAACAATAATAATAATATCTATTCATTGCCAGAACAAAAGATAGACATGAATTTGAGTTTGTACACTGTTTATTGAACAAAAACTATAAAAACAAAAGGAATCTCTTAAACTACGTATAAAATAGCAACTGTAGGACCTCACACTGCGTATTCTGGACAAAAGGGGTTGACTCAGCTGATGCTGTGAGCGTAACGTTTACACGTACGTTTACACAGCGCTGATTTTCATCATAATAATAGTAATAACCCAGAATCTAGAATGTATTATATATTCTAGATTCTACATTCCCGCCATTTTTCTGCGGTCAGTCGCAGTTGCGACAGATAATAAAACTAAAGTCTACAATCTGCCTTCTCAGTAAATTATGAAAGCAGAAATCATAATAGTTTTCAGTTTTGTTACAGTTATCGAGTTTGTATATAGGTGTAGTGATTCTCGGATTGCAGTTAAAGCAGAGCTGTAGTTCTTTATTGTGTCTCTAACTTTTTAAAATATCTTTTTCATTAGTCTGTTCTCTTTTTCATGGCGAATGTAGAGTTAGAATAAAAAAATGTAATGTTGGAAAAATTAAGAATTGTTTTTTATTTATTTTTGACTTTATTTATACCGTATTTATTGCAAGAATATATTACTGCAATTCTATTAAACAAAGTCAAGAATTGCAATTGTAAATATTGCAATAATTAAATGATGGAGGCGTACGTTTTGTTTTTAATGATATTGTTTTTTAATTTGGGCTGTATAGCTTCGGAGTTGAGCCTTAAATTTGGTAAGTAAGTTAGTAAGGTTTCTAATAATACAATATTTGTTTTCTTCTTTATTTGGCTTTTTCACCTTGGTGGTCTAACGGCTTACACGCTGGTTTTATTACTGATGGTCGCGGGTTCGATTTCTCGCACGGTGCAAACATTCGTGAGTATGATTGTTTGTTTCCGACTGAGTATTTTCTATGTGCCTATATTGCGTATGTATTTATAAAATAAAATATTTATATCAGTAGTCCAGTACCCATAACACAAGCTTTGATTATCTTGATTACTAGACGGCGACGTTATTAATTATTATTTGCAGTATTCATAATCGAAGCCCAAGAACGAGATTTGCCCCGACAAATAGGGAGAGCGCTGAAGATGGCTGAGGAGCAGCATCCTGATATCAGGGTAGCTGACTCCGTCGTGTTCCTGGATCGGGAGCACGAAGACGAGAGTTACAGGAAACGTTAGTTCTATTCAAGCATATGGTACCAGATAGTACCAGATAAAAAAAACATTAATCCAATAGACGGCGGTAGGCTGTAGTCTGCTTGCGAGTCATGTTCTCCTGGTACTTTCACCGTAGTATCGGTAATAGTGAGATAACTTCACGACTTATCTTTGATGGAGTAGTCAGAGTCATTATCAACACAGAGTAACATTTGTCTATATATCGCTATGAGAAAACTAATCTAAGAGAGAGACATTTTGGTTTGATATCAGCGTTTCCTTCACTGGAGAGTCAGACAGAAATATAAATTGACACTAGGATTTTTGTTTTTGTATCGGCCAAATTTGAACTCACACCTCCTCGACCTCTTCGGGGTAAATCTGGGTAGTAAATCTCACGACGCTCTCACAGAATATGGAAATAATATCAAAAGTGGGTAGAGTTTCAGTCGATTTATCATGGAAACTATTACTGAGGTTGTAAGTCTCAGTAATATTTGTGCTCTCACACATGATAATGGCAGCAAAATTAAACAAAATAATGTAAATCCATTAAGTAGTGATATAGACTAAATAACACCTAATTCGATGAACATGTTCATAAACTAGAAATTTATTATTTTTAATTTGTTTTTATTATGATAATGTAATTACAGATAGAGGTAATTTAGTAAATTTTGAGCTACGTCATGTTTTTGCCAGTTTGCTCAGCAGTTTCCAATGGCGTCTCCATGATAGTTGACATATCCTGGTATCCGTGGGAAATGGCAACCCAGTTAGCAGTAGACTCAGGGTTGCCACTAGTGAGGACGCTCCTCGGTTCCCAACAGTTGTTGTCGGCGCTGGACAGCTACCTGGAGTCGAGGAACGCCACAGACGCAGCCATTTTGATGGAAAGTGAGAGCGGTATGTTATATTCACTAAGTTTCAATTCATACTGATATTAAAAATAGGAATGTCTTACTGTCTGTTTCTTACCGTTCACAACTCACTTTATAATACTGAACAGACTTTTATATATAACCAGCAAACGTTGTTTTCCTTAAAATAAAAAAAAATTTAGGGGTGTACTACCCCTAATATTTAGGGGTATGAAAAATAGATGTTAGCCGATTCTCAGGCCTACTCAATACGCTCACAAAATTTCATGAGAATCGGTCAAGTTTCGGAGGAGTATGGGAACGAAAACTGTGACACGAGAATTTTATATGTAAGACTAGCTGTCCCGGCAAACGTTGTTTTGCCTTAAAATAAAAAAAATTAGGGGTGGACTACCCCTAACATTTAGGGGGATGAAAAATAGATGTTGGCCGACTCAGACCTACTCAATACGCTCACAAAATTTCATGAGAATCGGTCAAGTTTCGGAGGAGTATGGGAACGAAAACTGTGACACGAGAATTTTATATATAAGACTAGCTGTCCCGCACAACTACATCTGAGGCAAATTTTCCCCAATTTTGGAATCAATACAAATATTATAAAGCTAAAAAGTTTGATTGTTTGAATGCGCTAATCTCAGGAACTACTGGTTGCTAAGGTTCTTGAATAAAATAATATTGATATAATAGACTATAAATTGAGATGTAAGCTATCCTATCTTTCAAGTTGGATCAAATTGCACACAATGTGCAAATCAAATTTGCAATCGGTTCAGTTTAGGAGTTCATCGCGGACAAACAACGTGACACGTAAGTTTTATATATAATTAAACAACTATTCTCTATTAGATGTGGACAGGACTCTATACGCACTCCTTGGAGAGTCCAACATTCGTGTATGGGTCCACGCAGGACTCACCAGGGACTCTGCCAGGGCCCTGAAGACGATGCGGCCCGAGCCGAGCTTCTATGTCATAGTGGGCAGCAACGGTTTCGTCATGGATACCTATAAACGAGTAAGTTTGTGGTCTTGACTAAAATAATGTTTATATTTGTTTGTTTAATATTTATTTCGATGTATATTATTTATATTCTGACGATCTCGGTGGTCTAGCGGTCTAGCACACCGTCTTTACGTCCGATGGTCGCGGGTTCGATTCCTCGCACGGCACAAACATTTGTATTCATGAGTATGATTGTTTGTATCGGTCTGGGTGTTTTCTATGTATATTATGTATGTATTTACGAAAAAAATATATCTATGTACTTGTATCAGTTATCTAGTACCCGTAACACAAGCTTTAGCTAGCTTAATTCGGGTCTAGATGGCGCTGTGTGAATTGTTATTAGATTATTATTATTATTATTATTATGTATGTATATTTGTATAGGTATATGTATATTTTACTATTAGATTTAATTCAATAAAATTCGAAATATCTTTATTCATATAGGTCTATTACAGACTCTTATGATATGTCAAATCTACCGTCAGTTCGGAATGATTTCGAGATGAGAAGAACTGACAAGAAACTCAGCTCGTATTCTTTTCAAATAAATGTTGTATATGTTTACAATAATACAGATTCATTTTTAAATTCAAATTTGGGTGTACTCACCAATATATTATGCTATTGCAATTTCGTCAAAAGCAAATAGTCTAATCAGTGTTCGTAACCCGAACACACCAGTCCCCACAAGCCGCACCCGTTCACGAGTATGACGGGACTTTTTAAACCTATTCCAGTATACATTACACTTAATTTTATTTTACTTATATAAATCTATATATATTTTTAATATTTTTTATTGCCTATATTTAAATTTAAAAATGAATCTGTATTATTGTAAACATGTACAACATTTATTTGAAAAGAATACGAGCTGAGTTTCTTGTCAGTTCTTCTCATCTCGAAATCGCTCCGAACTGACGGTAGATTTGACATATCATACGTCTGTATTAGACCTACAGGAATAAAAATATTTTGAATTTGATTTTGATATCAAATTATCACTTTTATCCTACGGTTGTCCTGATACATTATAATTTGACCATTCATCAGGCAATTAAAGAGAAGTTGGTACGTCGAGATTACCGCTGGAATCTACTCTTCACTGACTACTCCGGCAGTAACCTGGATCTCTCCCAGTTGGTGCTGCCGACGGCGATGTTGCATGTAGACCCTGCTGAATGCTGCAGGCTCTCGAGTAGACGGGAGGACTGCAGTTGTCCTGCTGAATTACAGGTTTATATCTTTACTAGCCGTACCCGCGACTTCGTCCGCGAAAAATGGTGTCGTTGATCAATTAATGAAATAGATTTCATAATCTAACCCAATAAAAACCAAATAAAAAAATTTCATCGTTCTAGATTCAAAAATAATGAATTTCTATACAACTCAATCAAGAGTCTATAAAATAAGTTTCAGTTTCTAAGCTTTGAAAATGACGATATTTCCATATTTCATCTCAAGTTCAACCCTTTTTCTTTATTTATATTTATTCAACAACCTATAAAACTAAGTTTCAGCTTTAAAAAGATACAACATCAATATTTTATCTCCCCTCTCAACCCCTTACAACCCTTTTTCTTTATTTATATTTTATCAACAGCCTAAAAAATAAGTGTCAAGTTTTAAAAATGACGACACTTTCACATCTCCCCTTTCAACCCCTAACAACCCTTTTTTCTTTATTTATATTTAATTAACAGACTCGTGACGAGGCTACAGACATGAAGGCAAGACAACATCATTTGTATTCTTACTTCTTACTAATATAAATTAACCCAAAATTGGGGAAAATTTGTAGCCCTGGCAAACCTAGTGAGAGGTTGGGTAAAAAGGACATGTATATTAATAAAAAAAACATCTAAGCCTGTAGGAATGAATGAATGTCCCAAAACTTTACTTAAAACTAATTTAATTAAATTTTAAAATTATTTTTTTAAAAACTAAGCTTGGGCTTATCTGTGCTATCTAATATTATAAACGCGAAAGTTTGAATGTATGAATGGATGTTTGTTACTCTTTCACGCAAAAAATAAACCATTGATGAATGAATTTTGATGAAACTTTACAGTAATGTAGCTTATATATCAGAATAACATATAGGCTATAAATATTATGTAAATTAGACGAAATATAATGATAAATGCAAAGTAAGTGTCATGCAGACGAAGTTGCGGGTCAGCTAGTAATCTATAATTTTTGTTTCAGAGGTCCCAGTATATACTCAATGCCTTGATCCAGTATATAACAGATGTATACTCCAGACTGGACAACGACCTCACCACTGTCACCGTGACTGTTGACTGTGACAGCATCCAGGGTTGGGAGATGAACATCACCAGAGACCGACTGTATAGGCAGTTCGCTGAAGATACTGACCTCAGCAATGAGACTGTCTTCTATTGGGATGGAGACAGGTTAGGACATGTTTGTTGGAATGGCAAATTTTTATTTATTTTATTTACTAATGTTACTACGTGATTTATTGTGACAGTATCCAGGATTGGGAGATGAATGTCACCAGGAGTATAGGCAATTCGTTGAAGATACAGTCTTCTATTGGGATGGAGACAGGTTAGGACATGTTTGTTGGATGGTATTTTTATTTATTTATTTTATTTACTAGCTGTTACTACGTGTTTTCTTGCGACAGTATCCAGGATTGGGAGATGAATATCACCAGGAGTATAGGCTATTCGCTGAAGATACTCTCTCCTATTGGAATGGAGACAGGTTTGGACACGTTATTTGGAGTGGCAACTTTTATTTATTTATTTCATTTACTAGCTGTTACTACGTGTTTTATTGTGACAGTATCCAGGATTGGGAGATGAATATCACCAGGAGTATAGGCTATTCGCTGAAGATACTCTCTCCTATTGGAATGGAGACAGGTTTGGACACGTTATTTGGAGTGGCAACTTTTATTTATTTATTTCATTTACTAGCTGTTACTACGTGTTTTATTGTGACAGTATCCAGGATTGGGAGATGAATGTCACCAGGAGTATAGGCAATTCGCTGAAGATACAGTCTTCTATTGGGATGGAGATAGGTTAGGACATGTTTGTTGGATGGTATTTTTATTAATTTTGTTATTTACTAGCTGTTACTACGTGATTTATTGCGACAGTCTCCAGGATTGGGAGATGAATATCACCAGGGGTATATGCAATTGCTGAGGATACTGACCTCAGTAATGAGACTGTTTTGTATTAGGATGGAGACAGGTTAGGACAAGTTTGTTGGAACAGCAATTATTTTTATTTACTGGCTGTTCATCACTCGGTGATGTGCGAGAGAGCGAAGTCGCGGCTTCGTCCATATGAAACAGTGGCCTAGAACAAATAAGAAAATTAAGCTAATGCAAAATGGAAAAGAAAAAAAATTCATCTTTCTAGCTTTAAAAATGACGTATGAAAGTTTGTATGAACTTTCATTACCTATTATAATTTTAACCATCTATGGATTTTAGCGGACTCTTAATTTAATCAAAAGCTCATAAATTTCATGTCACAGTTCAATCCCTTAAAACTTTATTTTACATTAAAAAATAGCGTATGTCCTTTCTCAGGGTCTAGACTATCTGTATACCAAATTTCATTTAAATCGGTTTAGTAGTTTTGGAGAGAAAGCGAGACAGAGAAACACAGTGTTTATTCTACTCTATATGTAAATAAATAATATATAGGTCTGGTCTATTTCTTCGTTCCCGCTTCATCCTCTCAATGTACAAGCCTGATGAAGATCTGCAGACTGTCGCCACCTGGTCAGCAGACGAGGAATACCACCTTCTACCAGGGATTGTGTTGGAGCCGTTGAGACATTTCTTTAGGATTGGTACATCACCTGTAAGTATACGTAATTTAGACCACGGTGGACTAGCGGTTACCGTAACGGCACACCGTCTTAGTTGCGATGGTCGCAGGATCGATTCCTCGCATCGCATAAACATTTATGAAAATGATAGTTTGTATCGCTCTGGGTGTTTTCTGAGTATAAATATGTGTGTATTTACGAAAAAAATGTATCTATGTATTTGTTTTGTTATATCAGTTATTTAGTACCCATAACACAGGCTTTAGCTAGCGTAACTTGGGTCTAGATGGCGCTGTGTGAATTGTCCTGAGATCATTATTATGATTGTTTGTATCGGTCTGTGTGTTCTCAATATATTGTTATATTATGTATATATTTACAAAAATGTATATATGTATTTATATCAGTTATCTAGTACCTAACACAAGCTCTGCTTAGCTTGGGAATAGATGGCGCTGTGTGAATTATCCTGAAATATTATTATTATTGGAATATTTTGTTTTCTCAGCTTTTTCTTTCGGGGTTTTTACGCTTATTATATTGTTATCTGAATGAACAGAGATTAAGTGCGTAGCGGTTTTTGTGATTGTCGCATGCCTAATCCTTGTTAATGTAAATCTAAATAAAACAACATTAATTTAAAATAGCAACACACAAGTTTCTTGCTTGTTCTTCTTGTGAAGAATCTGAAATCCGAATGAGCGGTAGAATAAAAAAATGTGACTATTCAAGTCAGTTCAAGTTATAATAGAATAAAAATTATTTCTATTTGTGTTTTGTGAGCAGGTGAGCCGTAAGCCTGTTTTGTGAAGAGTCTGATAACTCAGTGAAGACTTTGTACAGATCTATTTTAGTACAAAGGTCAAATAGAATGTAATTGAATAGATAATTATTTATTTAAAATAACTTTGAGCAATTTTGAATAGTCATACTTAGTTGTTTTAATATAAACTCATTCGACAAGCTGTCTCATCCAACGGCGGATCCAGGGGGTGATGGGGGTCATGAGCCCCCCTTGAGCCCAGGACTTAGGTGGACCACTAATTGAACGTAATGATTTTATTTATATATTTTGTCACCATACAGATTTTATTAATATTTTTAAGTCCAGTACTTACGTGCATTAATAAAATACTTGTATCTATTGTTATCAAAATTAAATTATAAGTTCTTGACTTGACCACGGCTATGTGACCCACTCCTGTCGCCAACGCTGGATCCGCCCTTGGTCTCATCACAAGAAGAACGAGTAAGAAACTTGCGTGTTGCTCTTTTAAACTAGAGTTGCCAACCGTCCTGTTTTCCCAGGACATGTCCTAGTTCTTAAGTGTCCTGGGAACTCCTGAATGGTTATTCGGCAGCGTCCTGGGTTTTTAAAATATGCGCGCCTTTTAATTACTGATTTTCAACTGTATAATTTTATCAAATAATTTTTAATAAAAATCTGTTTATATTAATTACTTGAATTTTACTACATATCAATTGTTCGGACTCTTTGGTAGGAGTGCTTGCTGGTCGCCTATAAGACGGACAAACAGACACGCACACTGACTATCGACGACATTGTCATTGTGGTCGATGACCAACGTCGCAACCTGTGGCCCAATAACTATTGCAACACTATTATTGCATTCTGTTTGTGTTGTAGTAATAAGAAAGAAGACTAGGTAAACAGAGAAAATATATTAATAATAGAGAACTAACCTATTGACAACAGAAAGAATGAATTGAAGTATCAAAAACAAAAATGTAATATAAAAGAACTATAAATTTAAATACAAATTTAGAATATAAAATACATATCTGATTAGCCAGTTACAACAGTTTGTAAGCTATAAGAAGAATGATAAGAAGACGCGTGGACGCATCTGTTCTTTTCACTCTCCAGAAGAATTTAATACGAATAATATTTAACATAAGAAGCTGAGATAGCTGTAAACCTTATTTTATAATAAATAAAATACTCACCCTGCCTTGTATCTATATTTTGGAAGTGTGTAAATTTGTAAAAAAAATATCCGGAACTGTACAAGTACGCGTTGCGTAATAATAAAAAAATACAATTACCCACCTCTCGTCTCAAATTACATTCTAGTGGCCCCTTGGTATCGTCTGTTAAAATATTTAATCAACTCTCAACTTCTATAAGAACTTTAAATAAGAATAGCCTATTTATAAAATACTTAAAGGATTTACTATGTAAAAAACAATTTTTTTTTATTTATACTCTATTGTTATTGTACCAATTACAGAACAAAAACAAAAAAAAAAAGAACTATTAAAATGGAAAATATTATTTGAATCTCTTGACTATGGATAGAGAAATAAAAATTTAGTAATTAAATATATGACTCAAATATACATAAATATTACACACACATTAATAATACATACATATCACATACATATACTTAATAGTGCACAATATTATAATGTAAGTGATTATTTGAATGATGTATTTTAGTTTTTATGTAACATTTAATTAATGTATATCATATACATATGTATATATATACCAGGAATGACAGAATAAGGAATGAGTATATACGAGGAAGTTTGAAAGTTGCACCGGTTATAGAAAAGTTGCGAGGTAACAGATTGAGCTGGTATGGGCATGTTATGCGGAGGAATGAGGACCATGTCTTATGGAAAGTGTATAATATGAATGTGGATGGATGTAAAGGGAGGGGACGCCCTAAGAAAAGATGGATGGATTGTGTGAAAGATGATATGAATAAAAGAAGAGTATGTTTAGATATGACGACTGATAGAGAGCAGTGGAAGAGAATGACATACTGCGCCGACCCCAAATAATGGGATAAAGGCAAGGCAATGATGATGATTTAATTAATGTATATTATAATATATAACTGGATGAATAATATTAAATTATATGTTATAACTAGTTATGATAATAGTAATAATAATGTTATGTTTGCGTTTCCTAACAGGGTCCATAATGATCGAAAAATAATTATAAACATTGTAATATTATGGAATGCAATAGAAATAGAAATAATCTTTATTCAAATAAACTCATTACAAGCACTTTTGAATAGTCATATTTTGATTCTACCACTCATTCGGAATGCAGATTCATCACAAGAAGAATGAGCAAGAAAATTGTGTGTTGCTCTTTTTAATAGATGTTTTTTTTATATAAATAATTACAGTATAACAAGTAAGAGGCATGCGATAATCAACATAGATGTCGCTACGCACTCATTATTAATGTAATCAGATAGTATTGACAGTGCTATAAAGTTTTTCTATATAAAACATTATTATCGTTAACGAATTCTTCAATTTTATAGTGCTTTTTTGCAAAGGAACTGTTTTATTTGACATTTAAATCTTTTTCTGGCAGATTTATAACAGACTCTGGTATTTTATTGTAAAACCTTACGCAATTGCCATAAAACGAATTACTAATTTTAGCCAAACGACATTTAGGTAAACTCAGTTTGTTATTGTTACGTAAGCTTTTATTAGTGCAATCACTAACTCTTTTGAAACTGTCTATATTCCTTCTGGCATAGATGATATTTTCATAAATGTGTTGAGAAGCAACGGTGAGGATATTTGATTCCTTAAAACACTCTCGCAATGACTCCCTGGAACCCATACCATAAATGGAGCGAATGGCCCTTTGTATGAAACTTTTTGTAAAGTAAATATTGTATTTATATCAGCTGCTTTGCCCCATAACAAAATACCATACAACATAATGCTATGGAAATAGCTAAAATAGACAAGTTTAGCCGTTGCCACGTAAATAAATATTGAGTATTGAGTATTAAGACTGATATAAGGATCAGTGGAAGAAAATGACATACTGCGCCGACCACAAATAATATTATAACAAGGCAGTGATGATGATGTCAGATTGGGATAGTACTGGTTCTGAACTTTTAATCCTGGTTATAACATATATACAACAATTGTACGTTCGCTTCCGCTGTTTCAGGCTGTACCTTGGACTTTACCGAAGCTTGATCCAGACACAGGGGAGCCGATGGTGAACGAGGACGGCCAACCGCTTTATGAAGGATACTGCATTGATCTCATTGCTAAGTTATCTGAAGTAAGTTTTGTTACATCGAAATATATATAACTCAAAGGTGACTGACGTAGCGATCTATCACGCACAGCCCAAACCACTGGACGGAGCAGGCTGAAATTTGGCATGCAGGTAGATGTTATGACGTAGGCATCCGCTAAGAAAGGATTTTCATTAATTCTACCCCCAAGGGGATAAAATACTTTGCCAATTCTAACTTATTTAATTCTAATTTATGAAAGTTTTATTGAAACTTTGTCATGCTATACTTTTCTCTCTAAAACCGATCGTAGAGCTGAGAATTAAAAAAATACAATGAATAGATGATCTACTTTTTAATACTAAATCTCCATATACGTATTATATATAAATATATACAAAAATACATCTTTAAAGTGTCATGTTCAAAAATTACTTTGTCTAATCTAACAAAATAGTGCTTTATTGCTATAGTCATAGGGGCCCAATTTACCTAATGCGCGCGCGCCAGGGCCTACGGACCGTTTGTTACTAGGTGAAAGGGGAAGGGAACGCGGGAACACAAACTAACGGACTCTAATATAATATAATATCTGTGCTTACGATGATACAGGGTAGATTTTGAACAATTTATTTTATTTTAGTTATTTTTTTTATAAATGTCTAGCAAGAATTTGAACTCCTCATCACGTAACGACATTTTAAAATTTGTCTGTTTTGTTTTGAAGTTAAGTCACCATATACAAAAATACATCATGCATGTTCAAAAATGACTCTACTAACCAGTTTTATTAAGGCTGAAGGCTTAGAAGATGAGCACGAACTCGTTTTTTAAATGTGTATTTATTGGTAAGTCCTCCAATGTGTTCTGGTAGTGAGTTCCAGAGCCGTGAAGTTTGTAGCCTAAGTGGGAGAAGAAAGAAGTTTTATGAAGAGCAGTAAGAAGGAGAGAATCTTTAGATCGCAGCTGGCGGTTATGAGAATCCCGGAGGTATTGAAATTTATATTTCAAATATTCCGGGGAAGCAGAATCAAAAGTATAGAGTACAAAGTGCAAATTGGTATATAATAAGCGAAAGACGGACCTGGTCGGTGTAAGTCTAAACAGCTGGACTATGACGTTTTAAATTAAGTTAATTTAAGTTTGTTTGTTACAGACAATGAATTTTGAATACGAAATAGTGACCCCAAGAGGGGGCACGTTTGGCATGAAACTGTCAAATGGTTCTTGGGATGGAATTATTGGTGATTTGGTGAGAGGGGTAAGTATTTGATAGCAAATTGAATGAATGAAGGATGATAGCCTCGGTGGTTTAGCGGTTTAGCACACAGATTTACTTCCAATGGTCGCGGGTTCGATTCCTCGCAGGATCCAAACAGTTACGGATATAATAATAATAATAATCTCAGGACAATTCACACAGCGCCATCTAGACGCAAGTTAAGGTAACTAAAGCTTGTGTTATGGGTACTAGATTACTGATACAAATACATAGATAAGTCCCGACAAAAGTCGGTCCAGCCATTTCAGAGATTAGCCGGAATGAACAGGCAGACAGACAAAAATTGTGAAATATGTTATTTTGGTGTTGCATACACCAAAATAAAATTTTTCACAAATTTTCTAAAACAAAAGATTTTTTCTAAAATAAAAGTAGTCTAAATTACTCCTTGTTACATCAGCTACCTACCAAAAAAGTCACGTTAAAATCGGTCCAGCCAATTCAGAGATTAGCCGGAACAAACAGACCAACAGACAGAAAAAAATTAAAAAAAATGTTATTTTGGTGTATGCGCCGTATCTATATTCACATGCATATAGTAAAAAACCGTTATTTCAATATTACAAACAGACACTCCAATATTATTTATATGTATAGATGTCTTAAAAAAAAATTATCGCAGGAAACGGATATAGCAGTGGCAGCTTTGACAATGACAGCAGAAAGAGAAGAAGTGATAGATTTCGTGGCTCCATACTTCGAACAGACTGGAATACTAATCGGTAAGTACAATCCGTTATTCCGGACTACTCTAATGCTGTTGGCCGCAGCTGGCCTTTACAGCTTCACCAGACGATAGGGGGTGAGTGCAGATGGCACTCCAAACCAAAGAAAGTAAGTAACACGGATAATTATTATAACAATCCGTTATTCCGAACTACTCTAATGCAGTTGGCCGCAGCTGGCCTTTACAGCTTCACCAGACAATAGGGGGTGAGTGCAGATGGCACTCCAAACCTAGCAAGTAACACGGATAATTGCAGTTGTCCGCAGCTGGCCTTTACAACTTCACCAGACGATAGGGGGTGAGTGCAGATGGCACTCCAAACCAAAGAAAGTAAGTAACACGGATAATTATTATAACAATCCGATATTCCGGACTACTCTAATGCAGTTGGTCGCAGCTGGCCTTTACAGCTTCACCAGACGATAGGGGGTGAGTGCAGATGGCACTCCAAACCAAAGAAAGCAAGTAACACGGATAATTATTATAACAATCCGTTATTCCGGACTAGTCTAATGCAGTTGTCCGCAGCTGGCCTTTACAACTTCACCAGACGATAGGGGGTGAGTGCAGATGGCACTCCAAACCAAAGAAAGTAAGTAACACGGATAATTATTATAACAATCCGATATTCCGGACTACTCTAATGCAGTTGGTCGCAGCTGGCCTTTACAGCTTCACCAGACGATAGGGGGTGAGTGCAGATGGCACTCCAAACCAAAGAAAGTAAGTAACACGGATAATTATTATAACAATCCGATAGGACTACTTGGCCGCATGGAGACGATAGGGCTGAAGGCCAACTCCCGCCTGACGGATACGACTTTAGTCTAAGGGCACCACTAGGAGTTTGAACCTCGGCTTAGGCATTATATAAAAAAACATCTATTCAAAAGAGCAACAAGTTTCTTGCTCATTCTTCTTGTGATGAATCTGCATTCCGAATGAGTGGTAGAATCAAAATATGACTATTCAAAAGTGCTTGTAATGAGTTTATTTGAATAAAGATTATTTCTATTTATAATATATTTCTATTGGACGTTTTTTGTTTTGTTGTTTTTGACTATTTCGATAAATATTATACATAGAAATTACCCAGACCGACACAAATAATCATACGCATGAATACAAATGTTTGTGTTGTGCAAGGAATCGAACCCACGACCACTGGAAATAAGACGGTGTGCTAAACCGCTACATCACCGGGGCCGTCCATAATCATACTGATGAATGATTTATACCAAGGAGTCGAACCCGCGACCATCGGAAGTGAGACTGTGTCTATCACATTTGATGCAGATGAAGTTAGTCAGCCCGTCCCGGTCAGTTTAGTGATTTAGTCATCCATAAACAAATATCTATGTACAGCTGGTTGGATGAATGAATGAAACTCTTTATTGTTCCTCTCACAGAAAATACTATTACATATACAATTATGTACAAAATGATAAAAAAAAAAATATAATACAATAAACAAGACAAAAAGGTAACAATGGGCGGCCTTATCGCTAAAAAGCGATCTCTTCCAGGCAACCTTAGGATGGATAGAAGTGATTAGATTTGCGTCTGGTAGAGGTGTAATGACGGTAACAATATTGTAAGAAAAGTTATAAATATACATATAACATAATACAATACATAGTATGGTAGTTTGTATTCACACGTTTCGACTTGTAAATGTGAACTTACAATGATTATTTAAAAGAGCAACACACAAGTTTCTTGCTTATTCTTCTTGTGCTGAGACAGCTTTCCGAATAAGCGGTAGATTTAAAAAAAATGTTGACTATTCAAAAGTGCTTAAATTATGTTTATTTGAATAAATAATTTTCTATTCAGCAATTCGCAAGCCGATCCGAAAGACGTCTCTCTTCAAATTCATGACGGTACTCCGGACCGAAGTGTGGTTGAGCATAGTCGGTGCTCTGGTCCTCACTGGCTTTATGATCTGGTTACTCGACAAATACTCGCCCTACTCGGCCAGGAACGATCCAGCGTCTTATCCATACCCTTGCAGGTAAGTGGTGAAATTTTTTTTATTAGAAATTCAAATTCAAATTCAAAATATCTTTATTCATGTAGGTCTATTACAGACTCTTATGATATGTCAAATCTACCGTCAGTTCGGAATGATATCGAGATGAGAAGGACACTCAGCTCGTATTTTTTTTTCAAATAATAGTGGAACATGTTTAGTTATTAAAATTCAAAATTGGGAGAATAGAGTGACCAACAGCATATGCTATCGCAAAGAACAAAAAATTTAATCAGTGTTCACAACCTGAACAGACCAGTCCCCACAAACAGCACCCGTTCACGTTCACAGCCATTATTGTACTCAACCATATTTGAGGGAGCACATCGACCCGGCCCACCACGCCGCCACAAGTTTGAACTTTATAGCGAGCATGACTGTTTCAGGTTACTCCACTACGTCAATTATATTATTTACAGCATAGGCTGTACCGATCACAGTTTTCATCCATTACAATATTAAATTTACATTATTTAATTTACAATATGTCATTACAAAATTTATAATAAGTTTCTTAGACATGTGTAGATTTCATTATTATTCGAAAGACTTTGCTCGCTTTGGTGATGGTCTACTTAACTAACTAAATGTAATAGTTATTTGATTTTATATTGATATATTTCAATTTATATTGAACTAGCTACTCACCCCGGCTTCTATTATGGATTTAAGTAGAAAAAGTATAATCCATCACATTTAAAAGTAAGTATTGTTGCTAAGTAACAGTTTGTATGTAACGTGCAACTGCGATTGGAACGAAGTAAATTATATTTACTACTATATATATAATCCACTCAATATCTCTATCAGCTTCGCCTGGGTGTACATGTATTATACATATAAACCTTCCTCTTGAATCACTCTATCTATTAAAAAATACCGCTTCAAAATCCGTTGCGTAGTTTTAAAGATTTAAGCATACGTAGGGATGGACAGACAGTCACAGCGACTTTATTTTGTATTTGTAATGATATACATTTAAATACACCCTTTCGTTTCCAGAGAATTCACCCTAAAGGAAAGCTTCTGGTTCGCCCTAACTTCTTTCACCCCTCAGGGAGGAGGGGAGGCTCCCAAAGCACTGTCAGGGAGGACCCTGGTAGCTGCCTATTGGCTGTTCGTGGTACTGATGTTAGCTACCTTCACTGCCAACTTGGCGGCCTTTTTAACTGTTGAGAGAATGCAGGTAATCACACTTTGAACAAAGTCTTTCACGTGGCTACTGGTACAGTTTGAGAAACACACTTCTTAAGAACAGTTCTGAAATAGCCATTTTTTTTGGACTACTCTAATGCTGTTGGCCGCAGCTGGCCGTTACAGCTTCATCGGACGATAGGGGGCGAGTGCAGATGGCACTCCAAAGGAAGGACTTATGGAGCGGCTGAAGGCCAACTCACGCCTGACGGATACGACTTTAGTCTGAGGGCACCACTAGGGGTTCGAACCTCGGCTCAGGCCGTCGTAACATCGATCCCCGTTGAATTGGGGACCGATCGGAGGGTTCTGAAATAGCCGTGTTAGTTTTTTGTATTTTTTTTTATGGTTTATAATGGAATGGTGCACCTGCCTGCGCTAACGGTTTACACTGGCGTGGTACAAGTGGATAATGATAAGATGAGCATGAGGTCAGGTCAGTTAGCCCATCGTGGTAACTTCACCAGAAATTTATCACGAGGTTGAAGAGTTCACCTCATTGAGGTTGTGCTTATATCAGCAACAGCTCCTATTAACAACTTTGTATGCTATTTTTATTTTGTGTATTCCATGTAATTTGTTGAATAATAATAATCTCAGGACAATTCACACAGCGCCATCTAGACCCAAGTTAAGCTAGCTGAAGCTTGTGTTATGTGTACTAGACAACTGATACAAATACATTGATTTTTTTCGTAAAATACATACATATTATGCATAGAAAACACCCAGACCGATACAAACAGTCATACTCGTGTATACAAATGTTTGTGCCATGTGAGGAATCTAACCCTAGACCATCAGAAAAGTAAGGCGGTAGACCATCGAGGATCATTTAACGTTGGCAATAAATGCTTTATCTCCCTATCTTTTGGGTGTAGTAACCACTAAGCTAGAACAGTCTAAACTTTGTCTAATTGATTTCAGACCCCGGTGTCATCACTGGAGCAATTGGCGAGACAATCCAGGATAAACTACACAGTGGTGGAAGGGTCGACTGTACACCAATACTTCATTAATATGAAATTCGCTGAAGATACGCTGTACAGGTTTGTTGGTCCCAACAGTGTTGGTCTCTCCCCGCTTGGGGCCAACCGGAGATTCAAGAAGGGGAGGATACGGAACGGATAGGAAGTAGGATGAGCGTCCGGAATCTTGACTCATCAATCGAACGCGATAATACTTTTTTTATACTGCGATGATGGCAAACAAGCATATGATTGGATGGTAAACGGTCACCTCTAACTGTGCTGGTCTTTCCCCACTTGGGGCTAATCGGAAATTTCAAGAAGGGTGGAGGGTAAAGATGGTTTTAGGAAAAGGGATAGAAGGATGGGCGTCCGGAATTTTGACTCATCAATCAAATGTGATAATGGCAACAAGCATATGATTTTTATACTGCGTTGGTATGGGCGTCCGGAATTTTGACTCATCAATCAAACGCGATAATACATATGATGATGGCAAACAAGCATATGGATGGTAAACCGTCACCTCTAACTGTGCTGGTCTTTCGGAAGTAGAATGGGCGTCCGGAATTTTGACTCATCAATCAAACGTGAAAACACTTTTTTATGGTGGAACGATGGTGACAAGCAAGCATCTGATGGTAAACCGTTACCTCCAACTGTGCTGGGAGTTTAGGAAAGGGATAGGAAGGAAGTGTCCGGAATAACGACTCGTCAATCAAACGCAATAACATTTTTTTTACTACGATGGTGGCAAACAAGCATACGGTCCATCTGATGGTAAACAGTTACCGCAACCAATTAAGACGCCTTAAACGTTGTCACGTGCGCGTTGGCGAAAAAAGAAACCTTAATATACTCTTCTTGAAAAAACATCATGCTGGAGTCTCGAGGAAACCTCGGCAGGTAGTTCATCCCACAATGTAAGTAAGCGAGAGGAAGCACCTCTGAAACCACACTGTCCGAGACCAGTTAGGTTCCAGCGTATGGGTATGAATTCTCTGTGATAGATTTTACTGGCATTTCACGCACGCATTGAAAAAATAGCACTTTTGAATTGGATATTTTTCGGAGGAGATACACATTTACCCTTGTCTTTAAAAAAACTTTATTTTTTCAAGACAAGGGTAAATCTGTTTTGTTTTGTAAAACCAAGGATTTCTTTGTCACTTCTAAGAATATATAAAAATGAATGGCATTAAAACGGTTTTTCAATGGATGACTATAAAATGCTGCACCCGCCTACGCTAAAGGTATACGCTAGCAGTGCACCAGTGGACGATGATAAGATGATCAGTTAGCACATTGTAACAGATTCACTAGGAATTTATCACGATGGTTTCCAGGGGAAACAGCAATGGGGTTCCCCTTAAGAAGTATAGATTAAAAAGACCAATCATTTTCCAGGGTTTGGAAGGAGATCACATTAAACGCAACATCGGATCAGTCACAGTACAGAGTGTGGGATTATCCTATCAGAGAGCAGTATGGTCATATATTACTAGCCATAAATGCTACGGGTAAGTATCTGCCTTTGTCTGCTCGATTTCAAAAAGGTTGAAATGGTTCATCATCATCATCATCGCAGCCCGGAAGACGTCCAGTGCTGGACATAGGCCTCTCCCAAAGATCTCCATGACGATCGGTCCTGCGCTGCTCGCATCCAATGCCTTTCAGCGATCTTGACCAGATCGTCGGTGCACCTTGCTGGAGGCCTTCCCACGCTGCGTCTTCCAGTCCGTGGTCGCCACTCGAGGACTTTACTGCCCCAACGGCCATCTGTCCTACGACCTATGTGCCCTGCCTATTGCCACTTCAGAGTCGCAATTCTTCGGGCTATGTCGGTCACTCTGGTTCTTCTGCGGATCTCCTCATTTCTGATTCGATCACGCAGAGTAACTCCGAGCATAGCCCTCTGAGTGACTCTGACCTTGTTGATGGGGCCATAGTTAGCGACCACGTCTCTGTGGAAATGGTTAAATATACAAAATCGGTTAAGTAGTTTTCCGTAAAGAGTAACAGACATTTATCCAACTATACTCGCAAACATTTGCGTTTATAATCTTAGTAAAATAGACTCCTTAATTGTATTAAATAAGTTATCGCGTAATAAATAATATAGAAATTACATTGCAAACTTATTTATATTCTTATAGTTCAGTAAATTTTTAATTTAAACCACGATGTGTGTGATGTGACCAGTTTTGGCTCAATATATAAAAATATGTCCGTAAAAACGTGAATAATATAATCTAAAAAGAAATTTTGATTTTAAAATTAAAAAAAGGTTTGAAAAACGCATTTTTTTAAAATAAATCGATAACGGTAAGAAATATGAAAAAATGTTTTAAATAAAAGTTGTAGAGAAAAAGAATTTGCACAAAATAGGTCCTCTTTATTTTTTTATTATCTGCTATTGTTTAGATCAACCCTTTCGTATCCCTGAGCCACTTTATATTTGTTTATGTTTTCATTTTACGCGTAAGTGTACTGTGTTTTTTTCATCTATACGACATTTTTACACGTATATACATGTTTACAGCATTTTCTTTGTAAAAGTTTTGATACGAATAAATATTTTATTTATCTAAGTAAATAACCACTTACAGGCAGTTAATCAGCTCGTTTACCACTTTAACAAATTGGTCCCCAGGCCCAGTTCCTGACGCGAAGACAGGTTTCGACCAAGTGAATGATCACACCGACGCTGACTTCGCTTTCATCCACGACTCGGCTGAAATTAAGTACTAAAACACAAATTATTTAGTAACATTTCTTCAAAACCTTATGGTCTCAAAGCATATAAAAGCTCAACACACAACGCCATTTAGTTCCACGGTAATCAGAGCTTGTGTTATGGGTACCAGACAACTGATATAAATACATTTTTTTTGTAAATTCATACATACATGTAAAGTCCTCGAATGGCGACTGCGGACCGAAAGACGCAGCGTGTGAAGGCCTCCAGCAAGGTGGACCGACGATCTGGTCAAGATCGCTGGAAGGCATTGGATGCGAGCAGCGCAGAACCGATCGTCGTGGAGATCTTTGGGGAAGGCCTTCGTTCAACAGTGGACGTCTTCCGGGCTGAGATGATGATACACAGAAAACAAATAATCATTCTCATAAATACAAATGTTTGTACCATACGAAGAATCGAACCCGCGACCATCGGACGTGTGTTAAAAAGAAACTGCTCCACCTGAAAGACACCACCGAGGTCGTCATGTAACCCACCTGGGAAAAATAACTGTGATGATATTTCATGCTCCTATCATCCTCCACTGGTGCCCCGCCAGCGTGTACCATTAGCGCAGGTGCAACCATTCCATAATCCCTTAAAACCCTCACCAGGTACGAGGTGACCAGGAACTGCAACCTGACAGAAGTAGGGGAGGTCTTCGCGGAGCAGCCCTACGCGTTGGCCGTGCAGCAAGGCTCCAGATTGCAAGAGGACCTCTCCAGAGCCCTGTTGGAGCTGCAGAAGGAGAGGTTCTTGGAGCAGCTGGCGTCGAAGTAAGCGATTAGTTCAAAGTTTACTAGACAACCTAGATGTTTGATCATCTCACCACTGTAGCGTTATATATGATGTGATGAGGTGTCGCTACATAATATATTGTTTACTGTAGTATGTAGGTGAGTATACAGCTGTAATAATTGTACTATTTGTTGTACATTAGTAAGTTTATTTGGTAGTGTGCTACATGGCTTATTAGTGACGCGTACATTCCACGCGGAGTCGTAACGTGGACTGACTTTACACTTAACTTAAATCTATGTTATGTGGAGAGGTACTAATGGAAGGGTGTCGAGTGTAGACAGAAATATTACAAGTGTAGGCACACATAAATTATATCACACGTTAGGGGTCGAGGGAAGAGGGAGGGGTCTACAAAGTGTTAGCGTAACACTCTGTAGACCCCTCCCTCTTAAGGATAGAGGTAAAGAAAAAGAAATTGAGTTTAGTTTCTTGCCAGTTCTTCTCAATTGAATCTGTATATTGAACTGGACGGTAGGGAAAAAGTATTAGGTAATACAAAAACTTGCCGTTTACAAGCGGCTCAAGTGTCTTACATGACAAATGATTTTTATTTGATTTGGAGAAATCAGAAAGTTCGTCTAAAAAGTAAAAAAAATGGTGAAAATGCTGTAAAATTTCAACCCAATTCCTTCAGGCGTTTTACGTAAAACTTTTACAAGTGGCGTTTCCTTTTCCATTTGGTAAAATCTGCAAACTTTTGTTAGCAATCACATTGTGCTAACTGACCTGACCTCATGCTCATCTTATCATCCTCCACTGGTGCCCCGCCAGCGTAAATCGTTAGCGCGGGCGGGTGCACCATTCCATTATTATCCCTACAAAAAACCTTTTATGAGCACTCATTTTATGTTTATTAATTTAGATACTGGAATGATTCAATGCGCCAGGCCTGTCCTGATGCTGACGAGTCTGAGGGCATCACCTTGGAAAGCTTAGGTGAGGAACTTCTAAATGGACTTAGTAATATATCAGCGTGTACCTTTATCTCATTTAATATTGAATAAAACCACATTGCTCCAATAGTCGCCGGTAGGCTGTAGCCTACTTGCGAGTTATGTTCTCCTGGTACTTTCACTGTAGTATCGGTAATATTGAGATAACTTCACGACTGTTATCTTTGATGGAGTAGTCAGAGACATTGTCAACTGTCCATGTTGTGAACGGAACACTTGACATGTCCACATTTCGCTCGGTATATTTGAATAAAGAACCACATTACTCCAATAGACGGCGGTAGGCTGTAGTCTACTTGCGAGTCATGTTCTCCTGGTATTTTCACTGTAGTATCGGTAATAACTTCACGACTTATCTTTGATGGGGTAGTCAGAGTCATTGTCAACTGTCACACACGCACACACTGGTCATTCGGTCCCTCCTAAGTGGGTGAAGGTTGGCCCCGGGGCGAACCCCTTTACCCCGGCAACAACTCCGTGGGCAAGAACCTCCGGGAGACTCGATTTAAGCCCCTTAAGGCATTGGATGCGAGCAGTGCAGGACCGATCGTCGTGGAGATCTTTGGGGGAGGCCTATGTCCAGCAGTGGACGTCTTCCGGGCTGCGATGATGATGATGATGATGAAGGCGGGCTACTGCGCCGATACTTAAAAAAACTAACAGTAATAAAATTAACATAACGTATCCTAACTTAATAAGTAGTGCCATACTTGGTGACTATTTCGGTTTTGCTGTTTCTGCCAAATGTCGATGTTGAGAACGCAACACTTGACTGTCCACAATTCGCTCGGTATATTTAAATAAATCTACATTACTCCAATAGTCGGCGGTAGACTGTAGCCTACTTGCGAGTCATGTTCTCCTGGTACTTTCACTGTAGTATCAGTAATAGTGAGATAACTTCACGACTGTTATCTTTGATGGAATAGTCAGAGTCATTGTCATTTTGCTCGGTATATTTGAAACCAACGTGGCAGGAGGCGCCTACCGTCTCTGTCGTCTTTCAGAATAATCTTAGGTTTGATATTCGTGTTTCCTTCACTGCAAGTGACAGTCAGGAATATTGTGATGACAGGAGCGGTGGTGAGAGTAAACACACACAGTAGGGTGTAACTTGTATATTAACTGTTACATCTTGAATTACTCTAGCTTCTATATATATGACCAACTGCGTGACCTACGTGTCGTTATACAAAACGTACACTGGCACAATCTACTATGGAACGTGCTGATTTGCATCACTATATCACAATATAAATGAATACAAAGTTTCTTGGCGTTGCCAGATTTGAACTCCTTACCTCTTGGTTGTAATTTAGTATAGTAAACTACGCTACGACACATTCCCTTGTTGCATGGGCGTATACCCGCACGCTTCCACAATTTAGTAGGGCGAAATAGGTCGCCTAACTACGAGTTGGGGCATGCCTTGCATCGTCTACAGGGCGGGCCAACGGTCAACGGAGTCGCGGTAGAATGCCAACGCGACCTCGCGACTCCAGCAATGGCGCTCGTAGGTACACCGGGTGGTTTTATAGTTGGTTACAATCCCACACACCCCCTAGTCACCCCTCTGACTGGGGGACGATCTTTAGATTTTTCTACACATAAAAAAAGGTTACGATGTATATAGATACTATTATTATATTACAGGTGGCGTCTTCATAGCTACTTTATTCGGCTTGGGTCTCGCAATGATAACGCTAGCTTGGGAAGTATTTTACTATAAAAGAAAAGAAAGGAACAAGGTACAGATCTTGGAGGCAAATATGGAAAAACCAGAGAGCAAGAACGTGCTAGAGAAGAAAGTGGACAATTTCACAAAAGTCCGGAAGAGAGAGAAGAGTGGTAAATTGAATAAAAGTGGTAAAAATGTAACTATCGGTGATAGCTTCAAGCCGGTTGCTGAAAAGGGTGTTTCTTTTATAAGTGTCTACCCCAAAGGGGGATATAGGCCGTGAAGTTTAGAAAATAAATGTGTAGATATAAAAAAATGTGTATTAGCACTCAATATAAAACTAATATAATAACTAACTAACTAACTAATTGACGACCTCGGTGGTCTAGCAGTCTAGCACACCGCTTTACGTCCGATGGTCGCTGGTTCGATTCCTCGCACGGCACAAACATTTGTATTCATGAGTATGATTGTTTGTATCGGTCTGGGTGTTTTCTATGTATATTATGTATGTATTTACGAAAAAAAAAATTATCTATGTACTTGTATCAGTTATCTAGTACCCGTAACACAAGCTTTAGATACCTTAACTGGGATCTAGATGGCGCTGTGTGAATTGTCCTGAGATTATTATTATTATTATTATTATTGGCAAGCTGATCCAAATAATTTCGTCTGCATTTCATTTCCCCACATTTTGCAATATTTTTCATTGCAGCTCCGCTCCTGTTGGTCGTAGCGTAATGTTATATAGTTTAAAGCCTTCCTCGACAAATGGACTATCCAACGCAAAAAGAATTTTTCTTTTCAAGCCAGTAGTTCCTGATATTAGTGCGTTCAAACAAACAAACTCTTCAGCTTTATAATTGTTAGGGAAACTACTCTGCTACCAAAATGTTAGGGAATGTACTCTCTGTATATATATAGTGAAAAATGAGTGGAAGCGTCAGTCACGTACCTGTATGGTTCTGCGGATTTCTTGGGCTTCAGGGTCTCGAAGATATCTTCGCTAGCTTTCCAGTTTCACAGTAGGTTTCACAGTTCTAATTTATTTTAATTCACAACACAATGCGCGCGCGTCATGGACGCCGTACAGTCGGATCAGTACTAGTTAAGGGAGGGTAGGCAAAGGCGCGGGAACAGAAAACTAACGGACTCTAATATAATAATCTGTGCTTACGATGTTACAGGGTAGATTTTGAACAATAATATTAGTATAGATAAAGCAGAACAGTACTCCCAAACTAAGACAGAACAGAGCTTGTGTTATGGATACTAGACAATTGATAGAAATACATACATTTTTGTAAATACATACCTAATATACCTATATAGTACATACCCAGACAGATACAATTATACTTATGAAACTTTGTACCATGCGAGGAATCGAATCCTCGACCATCGGATGTAAAGCAATGTACAAAATGCTAGACCACTAAGGTCTATCCAATGTATGCGTATAAGCTATATTACTGTAAAATTTCATCAAAATCAGTAGTTTTTGCGTGAAAGAGTAACAAACATCCATCCATACAAAGTTTCGCGTTTGTAATAATATATCTATCTATCTATATATATAAATGAATTGTATTCGTTAGTCTCGCTAAAACTCGAGAACGTCTGAACCGATTCACTAATTTTTTAGTCATGAAATATTCGTGGAAGTTCTAGTAAGATATAAAATTAATTCTAGATGTAGCATTTACTAAATAAAACAATGTATTAATAACTTATAGAGTTTTTATTTACAAAACATCCTACATAAACATTATTATATACTATATTTATCAATTATTTGTGGTAAATGCTAGAATTTCATCAGGCAATTGCAACTTAAGTTTCTGTGATATTTATATTTTGTGGTAATTCTATTCTGTAGCCTACACTCATATTAATATGTTCAGCCCGTCGACCCGTGCTGACCATTTGCTTCTATGCGGCGTCTATTGAAATGCGCCAACCGAATAGCGTAGTCGGCACGACCCGTCCGATCTTTTTAGGTTTTGTTTTGCGTGCCATTTCTCTACTTATTGGATTTTATTATTTTGTTTAATTCCACTACCATTAGCATGTGTGAGATCACAAAGCTTCTAGTCTTCCAAGCTATATCCGAACTCTATTCATAGCCTGATGATGCCTCGTTCAGAGGCGAAACATGTAGCAATATAGGTGTAGACTTATAACACTTCCTACAAAATATACTTAAAAAAAAAGTTAACGGTTACCATTTAAATCGTCTAACATAGAACCTCAAAAATGATCATCATCACCATCTTATTTACATGTGTAGTTTGTCTATCTATACATATAAATAAAATTGGAGTGTCTGTTTGTAATATTGAAATAACCGTTTTTTACTACATGCATATGAATATAAATACGGTACATACACCAAAATAACATTTTTCACAATTTTTGTCTGTCTGTCTGCCTGTTTGTTCCGGCTAATCTCTGAAATGGGTGAACCGATTTTCACAGGACTTTTATGGCAGGTACCTGATGTAATAAGGAGTAACTTAGGCTACTATTATTTTAGAAAAATAAAGTTAAATTCCACGCGGACGAAGTCGCGGGAACAGCTAGTAATATATATAAATATATATGTATGCTCATATGTTTGTATGTACTATATTATTACGTATATATATAATCTTATATCTATTTAATATGATTATATTTAATTTATTAAAACCAAACCGCCTTCGAGTATCTCTGCACTCCTTAAGGTTGGCTGGTATAGAATGCTATTAGCATTAAGCCTGCCTATTGTACAAAATCAATAATTTTAAGTAAATAAATATATAACGTTATTTTTAAACTTTCGTGTTTAATATACATTATTTAAATTATACTATATTAATTAATCAAAGAGCACCACCACCAGTTAAAAATCGACAACCACACAAATCAGCGATAGCCGATCATCTACTGAACGCTGGAACAAATCACTGGATTGAACTACATGCGCCTAAGGTTATTACTACTACTACTCTACTATTACCCACGAATGAAATTAAAAAACATCCCAATTTCAACAGAGAGGATGGCTTAAAATTATCATCTGCGTGGAATCCAGTCATAAATAAATTCAAACAAAGTTCAGTAGCATCAATAGTCGATAAGTGTACGGATAGTATGAGTGCTGTGTGTCGCGAACTTTCGTTGAACAATCTAGTGACGGTAGATGAAAAAACTGCTGTCACCTATCTACATTGACATCGCTGTTACTCCAGTCAGCTCGTGACCACGGCTAGTGCAACCTAGTCGAAGCGTCGAGAGAGGTAAACCTTTATTTGCCATACAATTATTCGTGTTAAGACCCGGTTAATAATATAAATAAAATAAATAATGGTCTGAATTTGATCACCAATAGAGTAGGTCATAACACTTCCAGTAGCGGTGGTCAGGTTTCCGCACTGAATATTTATGGTCTCACACATGATAATGGCAGCGGAATTAAACAAAATAATATAAATACATTAAGTAGTTTCATGGGATGTGCAGTCCTACCAAGACTCATTTAGCGAATTCATTGATAAGTTTTTATACTATTTTTAAATTTTATAATAATATTCTAAATATTATTATTATTATTATTATATTAGTCGTATTTAATTTTATCTCCGTATTAATAAAACCCTCAGCACCTCTCACTCATCAGACACATTAGATACCTCCGCTTCAACTCTAGTGGTTGGTTTCTCGACGATCACAGAATTCGTATCCAGGACCCTCTTACCGAAAGTTACTCTAAAGTGATGAATATTTGTGTTCTCACACATGATAATGGCAGCGGAATTAAACAAAATAATATAAATACATTAAGAAGTTTTATGGGATGTGCAGTCCTACCAAAAGACTCTAGTGGTTGTTTCTCGACGATCACAGGATTCGTATCCAGGACACTCTTACCGAATGCTACTCAGAAGTGATGAATATTTGTGGTCTCACACATGATAATGGCAGCGGAATTAAACAAAATAATGTAAATCCATTATGAAGTTTTATGGGATGTACAGTCCTACCAAAAGACTCTAGTGGTTGGTTTCTCGACGATCACAGAATTCGTATCCAGGACCTTCTTGCCGAAGGCTACTCTAAAGTGATCTAGATTTAAGTATTCCCCATCGTCGATCTCTAATATGAGTTTCCGGACTTTGTCTTTGGTTTTGTTTACGAAACACGAGGCCAATTTCATTTCCAATTCCGCGTTCCTCACTCCGATGCAGTACGATCTGAAACCATAATGTTTCAATATTTTTTTAATGAATAAATGAAACTCTTTATTGTTCCACTCACAGAAAATACAATTACATTCACAATGATAAAAAAAAAACCAATAAATAAGACAAAGAGATAACAATGGGCGGCCTTATCGCTAAAAACCGATCTCTTCCAGACCCGCGGTTTCACCAGCGATAAATTTCCATATAAAATATATTTTATGCAATATTACTGTAACGTTTTAACAAAATCCGGTCCGTAGTTTTTGAGTGAAAGAGTAACAAACATCTATACTCACAAACTTTTGTGTTTATAACATTATTAAGATTAAGATATGGTAAAAAATAAAATATCTACATTTTGGTACTTCAGCGCCATCTAGCAGCCATTAATGAAGTTATGCGAGCGAAGCCGCGGGTAAAAGCTAATTTAGAAGTTGTTTCCTCACAAAATACGGATGGTTATCCGAAATAAATCTAAATATATATAACTCAAAGGTGACTGACATAGTGATCTATCAACGCACAGCTCAAACCACTGGACGGATCGGGCTGAAATTTGGCATGCAGGTAGATGTTATGACGTAGGCATCCGCTAAGAAAGGATTTTGATTAATTCTACTTCCAAGGGGATGAAAGTTTGTATGAACCTTTGTCAATTTTAAACCGATCGGGTTGAGACTCTGCATGCATAAAGCTACTATGATGTAGGCATCCCCTAAGAAAGGATTTTGATAAATTCCACCACCTCTTAGGGGTGGAATTTATCAAAATCCTTTCTTAAAATAATAAATTAACGCGAGCAAAGCCGCGTGCAAAAGCTAGTAAATAAATAAGATGTTAAAATAATATGAACAGATGATTTCTCATTTATCACATACCTGGACGCTCTAGCTAGGACAGCTGTCATGGCCAATATTTCAGTGGTAGCTTCAGCCAATCTGCTAAGTTCTCTGCAAAAAAATCAATATACATCATTACATAGTATAAAACAAAGTCGCTGTCGCTGTCTGTCCGTCCCTCCCTATGTATGCTTAAATCTTTAAAACTACATAACGGATTTTGAAGCGGTTTTTTTAAAATAGATAGATTGATTCAAGATGAAGTTTTATATATACCAGCGTGGTCCAGGACACCATCTTACCCTGTTTCCTAGGTTGTCTGTAAGAGATTGATTTAAAGAAGTGATTCCAAAAGTAGTCTATATCGACTCCCAGGGTCTATGACAAACTGCAAGGGGTCTCAAAGAGGTCATCTTGTTGTTTTCACTTTATGTTTTTAACACTAAAGTTTACTAAAGTTAGAAATTTACAAAAAATCAATACTAGGTAAGAATGGGGTCTACTCAAAACCGAAATATAAGGGGTTTACGACACGAAAAAGCTACCTCTACTTTAAAAATAAGATCACCTTTTGTTTAGCATATTTATGTACTTGTCTTTTTGTATAATACATAATACGATTACGGGAGAAGGTGTTACATATGAATGTGGAAGGTTCTAAGGGCAGAGGAAGATGGAAAAAGAAACGGGATGGACTGTGTGAAAGATGATATGGTAAGAAAGGGAGTAAATAATGCGATGTTTGGGAACAGAGATGAATGGAAGAGAAGAACATATTACGACGACCACAAATAAATGGGATAACCACACCACAATGTGGTTGTGCGGGCAAAAAGAAAATATCGTTCTATCTATCTATCTAAGTTAACAAATGGGTCATCTCAAATCAATAGCCAAACGAAAAGCACTGAATCACTGGCAAGAAATGCCAGGATTAAGACATTCAAAAGCCCTAATATCGGGCTACTCGAACGAATACTCCAATAGACTACTGCTATTGAGTAAAAACAACATATGCATGATGACTAGAGCCCTCACAGGACACTGCAAATTAAACAAGCATATGGCCAAACTAGACCTATGCACAAGAATCTGCAGATTCTGCCTAACTGAAGAGGAAACGCCACTACACATCCTATGTGGTTGTATCCCACTCATGCATAAACGAAATATCTCCTTTGGAAAGTATACATTATATCCTGAGGAGATAAAAACGATCGCTCCTAAGAATATCCTTCAATTCTTGTCCCTGACGGGTCTAGGTAGCGAACTTTGAAAGAGGGCGAGCACAATGGGTCTGTGTAGGTCGCAGTGCTACAGGTACCTGACAATAGCCCAAACAGCCCCGCCAGCGTAAACCACTAGCGCAGGCGGGTGCACCATTTCATTATCATCCATAAAAAAAAAAATAGTCCAAACAACCCAATAAAAAAAATGTTAACAAATACATACGTGTATGCACTCGCCACTTTCACTCCGTGCCTGCTCATTAGTGTCTCGCAGGCGTATTTTATTCGCAGCACGCAGTATTCCAGCTGTTCAGCGGTCGGACGCAGCGTTGGGTGCAGGTGTTCGGCCAAGAACAGATCTAGTGTCGGGTCGTCTTTCTCCTGCAATTTAAAATTTCACAGTTAGTTGTGTCTATATCTGAGTATAATTGATTGCATCGATCTGGCTAAAACATCTATCATAAAAAGTGCATAATAAATACCCGTTTATAGCAAATAAAATAAAATTAAAAATCATTAATTCATGTAGGACATTTTAGACATTTGTGAACGTAATTTTTTATATTATAATGTTTTTCCTATTATACAGTTCAGTATATAGATTCAATGGAGAAGAACTGGCATGAAACTCAAGAGATTTTTTCTAAAAATAGGACGTTTTAGTCGCTTATGAATGTAACATTTTTATAGTGTATTTTTTTCCTTACCATCCAGTTCAGTATACAGATTCAATTGAGAAGAACTGGCAAGAAACTCGATATGTTATTTTGAATATCCATTTTTTTTTACATTGTGTACTATCATACATCTATACATATAAATAAAATTGGAGTGTCTGTTTGTAATATTGAAATAACCGTTTTTTACTACATGCATATGAATACGCTACATACACCAAAATAACATTTTTTACAATTTTTGTTTGCCTGTCTATTTGTTCCGGTTAATCTCTGAAAAGGCTGGACCGATTTTGACGTGACTTTTATTGGCAGGTAGCTGATGTAATAAGGAGTAACTTAGGCTACTTTTATTTTAGAAAAATAAAGTTAAATTCCTCGCAGACGAAGACAACTAGTTTCAAATAAATGTTGTACATGTTTACAATAATACAGATTCATTTTAAATTCAAATTTGTGAGAATAGAGTGACCACCAGCATATGCTAATGCAAAAGCAAATAGTCTAATCAGTGTTCGTAACCTGAACAATTGATTTGAATGTAAATAAATGAATAATTACCTGCTTTCTATTGGCGAGAACTTTCTTAAATATAAACGTTGGATTCAATACTGGATTCCTCATTTGCTTTATTTCTTCAGACATCACCTTACCAGCGTGATGTATGCCATTCAATGCTGAAAATATATAACTTTTAAGGTTGAAAGCCTCATGGTCGGTTCACTATGACGTTGTATTGCTGTCATACTCGGGAACGTGTGCTGCTTGCACGAGTATCAACTCACATCAACCCAAAATAATCAACTCTAATTTTTAATAGTATTTTTTTTTTATAACGGTACAAACGAGCATGCGGCACACCTGATGGTAAGTGATTACCGCCGCCCATGAGCACCCACAACACCAGGAGAATTGCAAGTACGTTGGCGGACTTTTAAAAAGGAATAAGCTCTTTTCTTGAAGGTTTCAATATCGTATAATAATAATAATCTCAGGACAATTCATACAGCGCCATCTAGACCCAAGTTAAGCTAGCTAAAGCTTGAGTTATGGGTACTAGACAACTGATACATATACATAGATTTTTTTTTGTAAATACATACACATTATACATAGAAAACAGCCAGACCGATACAAACAATCATACTCATCACATTTATGAATACAAATGCTTGTGCCGTGAGGAATCGAACCCGCGACCATCGGTCGTAAAGCGGTGTGCTGGACCACTAGACCACCGAGGTCAATCATGTCGGTCCGGAAATACCATTACTGGAAAGTGATTCTACAATGTGGTTGTGCGTAGCAATACAATGTTTGAGGTGTCAGCGAGTCATCATTACATAGTATAAAGCAAAGTCGCTGTCACTGTCTGTCCCTATGTATGCTTAAATCTTTAAACTACGCAACGGTTGATGCGGTTTTTTTAATAGATAGAATGATTCAAGAGGAAGGTTTATATATATCATACATGTACACCCGGGTGAAGCTGGGGCGAGTAGCTAGTCTATTATAAATGCGAAATTGTATTGTCCTTCTGTCTGTGTATTTATTACGTTTTCGAAACGGCTTAACGGCTTTATGGGGGGAAGGGGCTTGTCAGTAATGGGAACTAGTAATCCCCATGGCTAGCAATGTTCCATGTTAGGTCGACCTCCACGCGGTCCCTCCTGGAAACCATTGTGATAAATTCCTGGTGAATTTGTCACGATGTGCTAACTGACCTGACCTCATGCTCATCTTATCATCCTCCACTGGTGCTGCCAGCGTAAACCGTTAGCGCAGGCGGGTGCACCATTACATTATCATCCATAAAAAAAACGGCTTTATGGCCTTTTTACTAAAATCGCGCGGACTTTATATAGATATCATGAAATTTCGCACACTATACTGTACCCGCGACTTCGTCCGCGTGGAATTTAAGTTTATTTGTCTAAAATAAAAGTAGCCTAAGTGACTCCTTAATAATAATACATAGTACATGTACACCCCCGTGCGAAGCCGGACGAGTAGCTAGTTTATTTTTACTTTAACTTACCAATAAACATATTAACACTGTCCAGGTTCTCTCCATATGTAGCTAAGTGCCTCAGATCCTTTAGCAAGTCCTCACACTCCTGCTGCTTCTCCAGAGCTGAGATGTTCAGTAACTTGAGTATTGCAAACAGTCCGTTGTTTGAGATGAAGTTTCTATAAATATTACAAAATTCAATTTCAAATTCAAAATATCTTTATTCATGTAGATCTATTACAGACTCTTATGATATGTCAAATCTACCGTCAGTTCGGAATGATATCGAGATGAGAAGAACTGACAAGAAACTCAGCTCGGTATTTTTTTCAAATAATAGTGGAACATGTTTATGATAAATACAGTTATTAAAATTCAAATTTGGGAGAATAGAGTGACCACCAGCATATGCTATCGCAAAGAACAAAAAATTTAATCAGTGTTCACAACCTGAACAGACCAGTCCCCACAAGCAGCACCCGTTCACGAGTATGACGTATGAGGCAGCCATCATTGTACTCTACCATATTTGAGGGAGCACATCGACCCGGCCCACCACGCCGCCACAAGTTTGAACTTTATAGCGAGCATGACTGTTTCAGGTTACTCCACTACGTCAATTATATTATTTACAGCATAGGCTGTACCGATCACAGTTTTCACCCATTACAATATTAAATTTACATTATTTAATTTACAATATGTCATACATACATACAATACATTATACTTACTAATCATTACATAGTATAATACAAAGTCTCTGTCGCTGTCTGTCCTATATATGCTTAAATCTTTAAAACTACGCAACGGATTTTGATAACGGTTTTCTTTAATAGATAGAGTGATTCTAGAGGAAGGTTTATATATATATAACTAGCTTTTGCCCACGGCTTCGCTCACGTTAATTTATCCCCTTAGGGGTGGAATTCATCAAAATCCTTTCTTAGGGGATGCCTACGTCATAGTAGCTTTATACATGCAAAGTCTCAGCCCGATCGGTTTAAAATTGACAAAGTTTCATACAAACTTTCATCCCCTATTTTATCCCTTTGGGGGTAGAATTAATCAAAACCCTTTCTTAGCGGATGCCTACGTCATAAGACCTACCTGCATGCCAAATTTCAGCCCGATCCGTCAAGTGGTTTGGGCTGTGCGTTGATACGATCACTACGTCAGTCACCTTTGAGTTATATATATTTAGATACATGTACATCCGTGCAAAGCCGGTGTGAGTAGCTAGTAATATTATAAACGCGAAAGTTTGTAAGTTTTTTTTTTTATAACACAGGGGACAAACGAGCATGCGGCTCACCTGATGGTAAGTGATTACCGCCGCCCATGAGCACCCGCAACACCAGGGGAAATGCAAGTACGTTGTCGGCCTTTTAAAAAGGAATAAGCTCTTTTCTTGAAGGTTTCAATATCGTATCGGTTCGGAAATACCATTGCTGGAAGGTGATTCCACAATGTGGTTGTGCGAGGCAAAAAGTTTCTAGAAAACCATACTGTGGAAGACCGCCATTCATCCAGATGATCAGGATGGTATTTCAGTTTCTGGCGGGTGGTACGGTGGTGAAACTCAGCAGCTGGTATTAATCTGAACAATTCCTCAGAACACTCCCCGTGATATATGCGGTAGAAAATGCACAGAGATGCAATATCTCGCCGCAAAGCCAATGGGTCGAGTCTGTCACATAGTGTAAGTATAGATGTTTGATACTCTTTCACGCAAAAACTACTGAACGGATATTGATGAAACATTACAGTAATATAGCTTATGCCTCAGAATAACACAGGCTATATTTTATATTGTAATTTAACACGATTGAATCCGCAGGCACAGCTATTATTTTATACACGAAAGTCTGGATGGATGTTTGTTGTTTTTCACACAAAAACTACAGAATTTTAATAAAAATTTGATTATCACAGTATCATGGATAACATGATAACGTGATAACGTGATGTCCATGATACTGTTCTGTATAGTTACCACTTACCATCAGGTAGACTGTCAGCTTGACTGTCAATACAATCAATAAAAAAAAACAGCTTGAAACTACAGTGAAAGTACCAGGATAACATGAATTTATAGGAATAGTCCGTTTTTTATTCCCGGACACAAATTTGACATATCCGATGTTGCCAGGATTTTGCATTTTTTACATAGGGTTGTGACACTATCGGAAATTAATATTAATTACCCATTTTTATAGGTTATTCAGAAATAATGTGCGAGTGTTTATATAAAAGGTCATCATCATCATCTGCTTCTTCCTTATCCCATTTATTTGTGGTCGGCGTAATATGTTTTTCTCTTCCATTCATCCCTGTTCGCAGTCATTCCGTTATTTACTCCCTTTCTCACCATATCATCTTTCACACAGTCCAACCATCTCTTTTTCGGCCTTCCTCTGCTCTTATAACCATCCACATTCATATGTAACACCTTTCTTAAAATATTATCCTCATTCCTACGCATTACATGTCCATACCATGATAGACGATTACTCTTCAACTTCTCTGACACCGGCGCCACTTTGATACTTCCTCTAATGTATTCATTCTATATCTTATCCATTCTTGTCACACCACACATCCACCTCAATATTCTCATTTCAGTTGCATGCAGTCGTCTTTCATCCGTCGCATTTTAGGGGCCAGCACTCTGATCCATACAAGACAGCAGGCCGGATCATGGTCTTGTGAAAATTTACAACTCGCGTGTTTCCTTTAAGCTTAAGGGGAACACGCGAGTCACACGTCGTTGCCGTAACCTGCCGCCATTTCATCCATCCTGCGTTAATTCTATGCTTTATGGTCCTGTCTAATTCACCATTGCTTTGGAGAAGAGAACCAAAATAATATAATATATATAAAAGGTATTAACACAAAATTAATAAAGAACATGTATTAATAAATATATGGTTGTTGTATCAAAATAGATTTTTTTATTTTTCACTAAAATTAAGACTAACTGCCCATTTTGTAACACAAATGATTTTTGGTGTCATATATTATACAACAAACATTTATTTGTGTTTGAAAGAAAGAAATGTTGGTTTCTAACTTAATACTATAATAATTACTATTTGTACGGAAACGAAAACAAAATGGATTCTTAAGTTGTATAATACGACGACAGTAATGGAAACGCTAGTATATGTACGTACATTTTAAAATTCTGTTGTTGAAACGTCATTTAAAGCTATAAAAGTTTCCGATTAAACAAACCGGTATCGCAGGTACACCACTACCCCGCTGTAGGTGGTAACATTATTTGAAATATTGACATTTACAACTGTCAATTTAGTCTCCGGTATTAAAAAAAAAAAGAGATTATAGTTTGAAATAGTTGACTCGTTATTTTAATGTATGGTAATTATAGTATTGTTGGAAAGAAGATTGAGAGTGGAGGGGAGACCCTATAAAAGGCGATGCCATCTCGGAACCGACACTCCCAATCCCACCCTAACCCGCTTATAGTCAATGCGGTCGACTACTCACCGAGGAGTAATATCCGACATACGCGACAACGTCGCCCGAGGCACGTTCTCATTGACCCCGACGACCCCATAACGGCAGGTAACCTCCCCACGGGCCCACCCGTTCCACCCCGACCACACTTTTACACACACACACGACACCGTCCTCGCCGGCGAAGACGACGACCTCAAACACACAATATCGCGCATTCAACCGGGCGCCTGCGCGCGCACCGGCGCCCCTCCGATCGATCCCCCGTCCAATTCAAACGGGGATCGAAATTACGACGGCCTGAGCCGAGGTTCGAACCCCTAGTGGTGCCCTCAGACTAAAGTCGTATCCGTCAGGCAGGATTTGGCCTTCAGCTGCTCCATAAGTCCTTCCGCGTGTTTGGAGTGCCATCTGTCCGGTGAAGCTGTAAAGGCCAGCTACGGCCAACAGCATTAGAGTAGTCCGAAAAAAGAACCTACACTCTCATTTTGTGATTTAGAGTGTTAGGTCGTTACTCTGCTAGTTTAGCTATCGGTTATAATCTTTTTAAGTTCATAGTGTTGTTTTGTTTGATTTGAATTGGAGGTTAATTATTTCTGTTTGTAATTAGTTTTCGTGGTTAATTATTTTTGCAGTATAAAATAAGCGATGTAAGAAGTTATCATTTTGATTCGTATTAGTTCAATTTAGATGTATTGCTAAACGGTTACAATAAAATTGTTTTGTTATAAATTTATTTTTGAGTTTAATTTCCTTAGGTAGCTGTAATTATTTCTTTTTAAAAAAATCACTTCTGGTCTTATTTCCAAGAGTATAATATATATACCTGCACATTGCCATCTCAAGTTCCGCATCCGGTTTCAGGTAGCCAAAAAAATCACTTCTGGTCTTATTTCCAAGAGTATAATATATATACCTGCACATTGCCATCTCGAGTTCCGCATCCGGTTCCAGGTAGCCAAAAAAATCACTTCTGGTCTTATTTCCAAGAGTATAATATATATACCTGCACATTGCCATCTCGAGTTTCGCATCCGGTTCCAGGTAGCCAAAATAATCACTTCTGGTCTTATTTCCAAGAGTATAATATATATACCTGCACATTGCCATCTCGAGTTCCGCATCCGGTTCCAGGTAGCCAAAAAAATCACTTCTGGTCTTATTTCCAAGAGTATAATATATATACCTGCACATTGCCATCTCGAGTTCCGCATCCGGTTCCAGGTAGCCGTCCAGGAGTCCAGCTGTGAAGTATTCAGCGCTCTCGCACGCATATATATCAAGTAAGGCGTCGCCAATAGCGGACCGAATGGTCGACACCTCCGAGAGTGGCTTACCTGTGTAACAGACAGATACAATTTTTATATATAGTGACTGCATTACATTCTTAACAGTGGGGTAATAGCGATTCTTCTGTTATACATAAATAATAATAATTACAGGACAATTCACACACCGCCATCTAGACCCAAGTTAAGCTAGCTAAAGCTTGTGTTATGGGTACTAGATAACTGATATGAATAAATACATACATATTTTTTCATAATATTCATAAATTTATATTTCATAAAATTTCTGAACGCACCCTGCGTTCAGAAATTTATTGCGTAACTAAACTTCAAAAAACCTTTGACATATTTAATTATTTGAATATCGCCGCTATCTACTCCCCGCCTCGTCATCGAATTGATGATCAAATGTTCGATCAGTTTTTCAAAACACTTGGTAAACGATACATTGCTGGAGGAGACTGGAACGCCAAACATATTTATTGGGGCTCTAGGCTCACAACTACAAGAGGTAGAGAATTAAAAAAGGCAATTGACACTAACTCCCTTAATATTATATCCACAGGAGAACCAACCTATTGGCCTACGGATCCAAATAAAATACCTGACTTAATTGACCTATTCATAACAAAAGGCATAGCGGGTATGTACACAAAAATAGAATCTAGCCTTGATGGTTCTTCAGATCATACACCTATCATATGTACAATAAGCACAAAAATAATCAGGAAGGAACCGAAAGAAACGTTGTATAATTATAAAACCGATTGGGAATCCTTTAAAGACTATATCCATGAAAATACAAACCTGCATATACCGCTAAAAACAGAAGAAGATGTAGAAGAAACAGCCTGGTATGTCACAAACCTGATCCAAAAAGCAGCATGGTCATCAACACCTTATACCGAGTCTAAAATAAAGAGCCAAGATACGACACTAGAAATAAGAAATATGATATCAGAAAAAAGAAAACTGAGGAGACAGTGGCATACAAGCAGAAACCCTCAAGATAAAAGAGCACTTAATAAAGCTCAAAAACTATTAAAAATAATGTTAAGAGAAAATGAAAACAACACAATCCAAGATAAATTGATGACATTATCCCCACATAAAGCAGATGACTATAGTCTTTGGAAAATAACTAAATTTATAAAGAGACCGAAAGAACATATACCCCCACTTAAAAAAACAAATGGAAGCTGGGCTGGAAAACCTAGAGATAAAGCTGATTTATTTGCAAAGTATCTCAAAGAAGTATTTATACCAAATGAATCAGATGATATGCATACAGAAGCAGAAATTGATAAAATACTTGACAGTGACCAACAAATGTCCTTACCTCTAAAATCAGTTACGCCAGCGGAAGTAAGAAAGACTATAAATCAGCTAAAATATAATAAGGCACCGGGCTTCGATTTAATAACAGCTGAAGTACTAAAACAGTTGCCCAAAACAGGAATAGTTTTACTAACAATTCTCTTTAATGCAATACTGAGACTGCAATATTTTCCACAGTTGTGGAAAGTATCTATAATAAATATGGTTCTTAAACCGGGAAAACCATGCACTGAAGTATCGTCATATAGACCAATAAGCCTACTACCAGCAATATCCAAATTATTTGAAAAAATACTATTGAAAAGATTATTGCCAGTGCTTGAGGAGAAAAATATAGTACCAGAACACCAATTCGGCTTCCGGGCACATCATGGAACTACGGAACAGATACACCGAGTCGCACATACAATTAGACAAGCACTAGAGAAAAAGAATACTGCTCAGGAGTATTTTTGGATGTACAACAGGCATTCGACCGCGTGTGGCACAAAGGCTTGTTCTATAAATTAAAAACCTCATTACCGAACACCATTTATATGCTCTTAAAGTCCTATATACAACATAGGATATTCCATGTTAAGTATGAAGATCACCTATCAGATTATTTTGAAATAAAAGCCGGAGTGCCACAGGGTTCTGTCCTTGGCCCAGTATTGTACACAATATATACTGCTGACCTTCCCACTACTAATGGTATAGTTACAGCAACATATGCAGACGACACAGCAGTGCTGTCATGTAATAAAGACCCACATATTGCATCTACAGAGCTTCAGAAACATCTGAATGGAATTAAAGAATGGTTGAATAAGTGGAGAATTCAAGTGAGCACCACAAAGTCGGTCCATATCACATTTTCACTGAAAAGAGGAAATTGCACACCAGTATCCTTAGATGGAACTATTTTGCCACAACAAACGGTGGTAAAATATCTCGGAATGCATCTGGACAGAAGACTTACCTGGAAAGACCACATAAAAGCAAAAAAAATCCAAGCTGATAGAAAACTTAAAGACATGTACTGGCTGATAGGTAGACAGTCTAACTTAAGTCTGGAAAACAAACTCCTCATCTATAAGAGCATCATAAAACCAGTGTGGACATATGCAATGGAACTATGGGGAATCACACTCTAACATAGAAATTCTCTTCCAAAACAAGGCATTAAAAACCATAGCCAGAGCTCCTTGGTTCATAAAAAACATTGAAGTACATACACATCTAGAAATTCCAACTGTAAAAGAAGAGATACAGAAAGCCTGTGGAAGATATAAACACAGATTACGCATAAGAACCTGTTAGCTTCAAAACTACTGGATATAAATAACTGTCCATCTAGAACTTGCCAACATCTAAAGAAAGTAAATGAGAAAACCTCATCTGCCAATAACTTCAAAAAATCTGATTATATTTAGAGAGAGAGAGAAAAAAAAAAAAAAAAAAAAAAAAAAAAAAAAAAAAAAAAAAAAAAATTCTGAGGCGGAACGGAGGTCGCGGGGTCAGATAGTTAGGAGTAAAAAAAGAAATGCCGGTCCCTATGTGACAAATAAGATCAATCAAGAGAAAATTACGATGTGGTCAAGGCGCTAAAATTAAAAAATATATTTAAAAAAAAATACTCACCAGAGAATGTTCTAGGTTGTATATATTCAACGCAGGAGTGCATAGCTTTTTTTAAAGTGATCCGGCACAGAGTAGCTGCGTGGAGGCGAGACAGACCGAGAGTTTGCGCCAGGGCTTGCTCTGTCATTTGGTCAAGAGGAGTACCTGTGAAAGTATATTTTATTAAATTCAAAATTCAAATTCAATATTCAATATTTTAATAATATTATTTTATAAACGATGAAGTTTGTGAGTGCAGATTGGTGCAGAATGGTTGATTAGAGGGACGGATGGATGTTTAATAAATAACCATAGACAATTAACACAGCGCCATCTAGTCCCACGGTAAGCAGAGCTTGTGTTATGGATACTAGACAACTGATATTTATACTTAGATATGTTTTTGTAAATACATACTTTTTTAATACATGCAAAATATTCATCCCAATCCAATCGATCCCCCGTCCAATTAAAACGGGGATCGATATTACGACGGCCTAAGCCGAGGTTCGAACCCCTAGCGGTGCCCTCAGACTAAAGTCGTATCCGTCAGGCGGGAGTTGGCCTTCAGCCGCTCCATAACTCCTTCCGCGTGTTTGGAGTGCCATCTGCACTCGCCTATCATCCAGTGAAGCTGCAAAGGCCGAGCCGAGTAGTCCGAAAAAAAATCATAGAAATCACCCAGACCGATACGAACAATCTTACTCAAACACAAATGTTTGTTCTGTGCGAGGAATCGAACCTGCGACCGTCGTAAGTAAGGCGGTATGCTAAACCGCTAGACCACCGAGGTCTCGTAATATGTATGTCCAAAATTGAGGGAGATAATTAAAATTCTAGATCTAAGATTATATCATATAATTATAATAAGAACAATTTATAATTTTCAATTATAGGAAAGAATCTATCTTCTTGAATTCAGCTGTAAGAATGAATAATGTACACTACACAGTAACAGTAACTAGTATATAAGGATTGATTATTATAATAAATAGCCAGTGTACACTCAAACGTTGTACCTATCATTTGCCTAACAAACACTACCCTTATACAGCACTGAGGGGTCGTTCAAGTATTACATACACACAAATGTCTATTTAAACTGCTACTTATTTATTAATATAAAGAAAACGTGGAATGAAATAAAATAAAATATAAAAAAAAAAGAAAAAATTACTATGAATATTTTTATTCTTAGAAATTTTTCTTTTTTTTTTATATATCATCCAATTAAAAAAGAAATACCTGGAGTTTTTCTAAAGATAGCAACACCGGCTTCGTAACTGACGCCTTCTGCCCCTGGATGGACCAGGTACGCCTTCAGTCTGGAGCCTTCGATGCAGCACAGCACCAGGAAGTATCCGTTTGAATTAAGGCAAATTTTCTCACCAGATATTCTCCATACATCTGGAAATTTCATTTAACGATCATGACGGTGATGGTGATGGTGATGGTGATGGTGATGATGATGATGATGATAATGATATCAATAATAATAATAATTTCAGAACAATTCACGCAGCGCTATCTAGTCCCAAGTTAAACTAGCTAAAGCTTGTGTTATGGGTAGTACCCATACTGACAACTGATACAAATACATAGATATATTTTTTATATATTATAATTAGAAAACACAGAGACCAATATAAATAATCACACTCATAAAAATAAATATTTGTGCCGTGCGAGGAATCGAACCTGCAACCATGGGAAATAAGGTGGTGTGCTAAACCGCTAGACACAGAGGCCGTCAATAGATGATCTAATACCAGCGTGGTCCAGGACACGATCTTACCCTGTTTCCTAGGTTGTCTGTAAGAGATTGCTTTAAAGAAGTGATTCCAAAAGTAGTCTATATTGACTCCCAGGGTCTATGACAAACTGCAAGGGGTCTCAAAGCGGTCATCTTGTTGTTTTTACTTTATGTTTTTAAAACTAAAGTTTACTAAAGTTAGAAATTTACAAAAAATCAATACTAGGTAAGAATGGGGTCTACCCAAAACCGAAAAATAAGGGGTTTACGACACGAAAAAGTTTGGAAACCTCTACTTTAAAAATAAGATCACCTTTTATTTAGCATATTTATGTACTTGTCTTTTTGTAAATATTTTTCTGTTAGTAATAAATACTGATATGTGTGATAACCATGTTATTTAAAATAAATATTATTCAATCCAGGGCAGTTTACACCATCTCATCATCATCTGCTTCTTCCTTGTCCCATTTATTTGTGGTCGTCGTAATATATTTTTCGCTTCCATTCATCCCTGTTCGCAGTCATCGCATTATTTACTTCCTTTCATACCATACCTTTTTCGGTCTTCCTCTGCCCTTATAACCATTCACATTTACACCATCTCAAATGTAAAGGAATTTGAATCTTGGCGACACCAAAAACCTTGTCTTTATTTAAAATTCTGATTGACTAGTGACTGACTCTCTGGTGCGCAATCTGACACTGGTAAACAATTTAGTATAATGCAGTAGGCTAGGTTTGCCCTCTGCCATATTATTTGAAAGTACCAGGAGAACATGACTCGCAAGTAGGCTAGAGACTACCGCTGTCTATTCGAGTGAGGCATTTCTTATTCAAATATACCGATCAAAATGTGGACAAGTCAAGTGTTGGGTTCAGAACATCGACAGTTGATGATGACTCTGACTACCCCCTCAAAGCTAACAGTCGTGAAGTTATCTTACTATTACTGATACTACAGTGAAAGTACCAGGAGAACATGACTTGCAAGTAGGCTACAGCCTAACACTGTCTATTGGAGTGAAGCATTCTTTTTAATTCAAATATACAGAGTCAAATGTAGTCATGTACTGCTTAGTTTGGAACTGTGCAGTACTTTTCAGTTTATATATCTAATATATAAAATTCTCATATCACAGTTTTCATTCCCATACCTCTGAAACGGCTTGACCGATTCTCATGAAATTTTGTGAGTGTATTGAGTAGGTCTGAGAATCGGGCAACATCTATTTTTCATCCCCCTAAATATTAGTCTACCCCTAAATTTTTTTTTATTTTAAGGCAAAACAATGTTTGGCTGAACAGCTAGTATTAGTATAGTTCACTATTATTATTATAATTCTAGGATACTTACTTTGTCCATCCAACTCAGCAGTAGTCCTGAAATCAGCCTGTGTGACTCTTTCAGCAATTTTCTCTTTAATAGCCAAAGTTATGGTGTGTTCTCCATTTGTCAAATCAGATATTATTTGCTGCAACTGTTCATCTAATAAACCCTTCTTTAAAACCTCTAAACCCACCCAATGGTCACTTATTTCCTGCCCTAAAGATATATCCGAGGCTATGACCTCCAAATAACGGATTAATTCGGTACAATTTGCCGCCAATCCATCGTTTGTCAGAGCGACTGGCGCTGCATACATTTTGGTGCCTTTCAGTGCATTAAGACGGTCTGTTTTACTTTTTTCTGGGTCAGAAAATATCTTATCCAAGACCGCGGCGCGTTCGTCCAAAGCTTCAGACTCTTCTTTATTCAAAATCTCCGGATATGCCAGTAATTCTTTATTATACGTAGACACGAAGACGTCTTTCATGAATGGCCGTATCTTTGCTTTCCTGCGCTCTCGCCGTTCTAAAACTTTCAAATCTTCAAAATTGAATTTCTCTTCCACGACCCGAGGTTGCGCGGTTTGTGTAGATTGGTAATTTGTTGACGAAAAGCGAAATTTTCGGCAAATGTTTTTGTTGAAGATAGGATGGCGGAATATACATAGATGCCGGGATATATTCATGTTAGCACATTAAAGTATAATAGTAATTAAAGAAACAATTGATAACACAGATTCTTAGCTTAATAGTTGAATATTTTAATGTTTTAGTTTGCTTAATGAATCAGTTTATATAAACCCAAGGTTTTTATTTGTTGAGGTTATGTTAATTTCACAATTGTGACAATCAATGACATTTCTCAACCAAAAATGTCAGTGTCAGTCAGTTGTCAATAATGTAAGAAGGAGTGTCATTAGTTCGTAATTTTTTTACTATGAATATAAACAAAAAATAAAAAATATATAAAAAATTTTCTCCTAGTATGGTACTACTTATGTAAGATAGGTTAATTTGTATTAATTTTATATTCGCCTTAAGAGGCTTCAATCCAGCCACCCAGATTGTTGAGCCCGGAGTCCATGCCGTGGCAAAGGAATTCCTTTGTCCCCTTCGTCGCGAGACCCCAATTTCATCTCCCCAGGGAGTTGCGAATGAAAAGTCATCCATTCATTCATTCATTACAGTCAGAGATACGTCCATATAAGTCCATATAAGACAGATATACCTCATTTGTTTTTTTTACTTACCAACTGTCTTGACTTTGATGTCGCTTATGAAAGTCAAGTTTTTTGTATTAAATGATAATAAGTTACCCTGGACAATTAACACAGTGCTATCTAGTCCCACGGTAAGCAGAGCTTGTGTTATGTGTACTAGACAATAGATATAAATACTTAGATATGTTTTTTTTGTAAGTACATACGTAATATACATAGAAAACACCCAGACTGATACTGTTAGCACATGAAACCTCTTTTTATACAAAATCCATAAAATAATTGTAATTAAAAAAAAAAACTTTTTTTCTTTCTGTCAACAGGGTCTATCATTTATTATTAATTTTATTGATTTTAAATGCATCAGAATTAGATCACAGTGAGAAACACATACAAAATTGGTGCTATATAATAAAATGATTAATCTATCAGTTCAAGAATCAATAGTTAACCTCAAAAGACTTCGTCTCGAACGCGGCCGTTGTAAGGCAACCATTACCCGGTTGGAAACATTTCTCTCATCAGATCTCTCATCATCATCATCATCATCTCAGCCCGGAAGACGTCCACTGCTGGACATAGGCCTACCCCAAAGATCTCCACGACGATCGGTCCTGGGTTGCTCGCATCCAATGCGTTCCAGCGATCTTGACCAGATCGTCGGTTCACCTTGCTGGAGGTCTTCCCACTTGCGTCTTCCGGTCCGTGGTCGCCACTCGAGGACTTTACTGCCCCAACGGCCATCTGTCCTAAGAGCTATGTGCCCCGCCTATTGCCACTTCAGAGTCGCAATTCTTCGGGCTATGTCGATCACTCATCAGAAATGAGGAGATACGCAGAAGAACCACTGCGTATCTCCTCATTTCTGATTCGATCACGCAGAGTAACTCCGAGCATAGCCCTCTCCATTGCCTTCTGAATGACTCTGAATAATATCATCTATACCAGGAAAAATATAGACAGTTTCAAAAGAGTTAGTGATTGCACCAATAAAAGCTTACGTAACAATAACAAAATGATTTTACCTAAATGTCGTTTGGCTAAAGTTAGTAATTCGTTTTATGGAAATTGCGTAAGGTTTTACAATAAAATACCAGAGTCTGTTATAAATCTGCCAGAAAAAGATTTAAATATCAAATAAAACAGTTCCTTTGCAAAAAAGCTTACTATAAAATTGATGAATTCCTTAACTATAATAATGTTTTTATAGAAAAACTTTAAATCCATAGCACTGATAATATTATCTAATTACACTAATAATGAGTGCGTAGCGATTTCTACGTTGATTATCGCATGCCTCTTACTTGTTATACTGTAATTATTTATATAAAAAAAACATTATTAAAAAGAGCAACACACAAGTTTCTTGCTCGTTCTTCTTGTGATGAATCTGCATTCCGAATGAGTGGTAGAATCAAAATATGACTATTCAAAAGTGCTTATAATGAGTTTATTTGAATAAAGATTATTTCTATTCTATTCTGAGCTTGTTCATGGGGCCCATCAGAGGTTGCTGACACTGAATTATTACAAACAGTCATAGTCATGAGTACAAATGTTTGCACCGTGCGAGGAGTGCGCTCTAAACCGCTAGATCACAGAGGGCATCAATTAATATTTTGTTACCTCATCCAGATCACTCTTTAAATTTAAATCATAAGAACTGAGAAGAATCTGAACTGCATGAACTTGCCCTTTCATTATACGTTGGCAGGTCATTAGTGGAGTAGAATATAATGAGCATAACGGCGGATCCAGGGGTAGGGGGGGGTCATGGGGGTTATGACCATTCCTTTGGATTGGAGTGCCATCTGCAGTTGCCGACTATCGTCTGGTGAAGCTAAAGGCCAGCTGCGGCCAACAGCATTAGAGTAAAAGAAAAAAGACGATAGAGCAGTCCCCTTAATCCCCTTTTAGCCTACATTCTCCTTCCAAGTTCTATATGAATTGCCCTGGACCTTTGTCATTATTAATTTGTGAAAAAATAATTTACATTCTATATTCAAATTACAATTCTTATTATTTTCTTGTGCGGCTTCTCACAATATGGCGGACTTAGCGTCAATTCAAACTCATTTGCATTACCGCCAACCGCTCCGTCAGTACGCAATTTAATTTCGAGACGTTCATCCTAATTACAAATATAAGTACCTATAAAATGTAAACACAATCAAAACAAAACATTTAATTTGGCAGAATTAAAATTTTATAAGCTGGTAACATTTCGGAAATAGTGATGGGACTAACATATGTGTTAATTAATAACTGTGAAATAGCAAGTTATTTTTATTAAAAGTGCCGAAAGTCGTTTCAGATACAATATTATAGGTATTAGTGTTTATTGATAGCGCTGAGTATTCGCAATCTTTTTGTATGCTACAAAGACATAAATAAATATTATATAATACCTTCACGACCGTTATTCCTAATGGAGTAGGCACTAGTTTAGCTCTAGGAGTGGCTCCCTAAAATATAGTTGATTGCTGTCAAGGCTATCTCACACGTCATACTTGTGAACGGATGTTGCTTTTAGGGACTGGGTTTTCTCTGATAACTATGACTAATCAATTTTGTTACTCGAGTAGCTATTAATTTATGTCAATTTGCTATTTGGCAGTTTGTGTTCACATAGATTTCTTAAAAATGTAATTCTGAAAAACATTTATTGAAAAAAGCAACACGCAAGTTTCTTGCTCATTCTTCTTGTAACGAGTTTGCGTTCCGAATGCATGGTAGAATAAAAAAATATGACTACTCAAAGGTACTTATAATAAGTTTATTTGAATAAAGAATATTTCTACATATCTATTTTAACTGTTACTACTAATAAAATGTTACTGCTGTTCCTTTTTCAAAACGTTATTACGTTATACCAGTTATCACGGACAGGAAAATTGGACGTTGCGTCGCATCACTAAAGTAATAGGGGATGGGGCGGGAAAACTGTCTACGCCCACGCATTTACTCAAATATCGACTTAAACTCCTATACCGTATGCTCATTTTCCGTTGCATTACCGAAATTGAGATGTTTAACATATATATATGTAAGTATTCCCCTGAAATAATCAGTAGAAATCGTTTCCCGTCGGCGACGTACTAGTGTTGCGTTGTTTTTATAAACGATTTAATGACGAAAGTGTCGATATATTCATTAAATAACCGTTTAAATGCATTTATTTATGGTGAGAAGTGTATCATAGACAATTAATACTCTATAATGGATTGCGTGGTTATAGGATTAAAGCAAGTACACGATAAGGGGAAATAATGAATCTATGTTAAGGATACAGCTTCGCGTATTGATGATATGTGTTCAAGCAGTTCTTTGCGATGCTATGAATATACAATGTGAAAAGGTTGCGGCTGGGCTTGTCAACTTTTACAACATATATTCTCAACTCAGGTCTACGAAGAATATTTAAGAGTAATTTAGGAAAATGAACAGTATTTTATTTATTTATTGTTTTAATTACATATTTTTTATAGATTCTCGCACTACTTACAAATTACATTTTTTTTTTTAATTTCATTCTTCATTTTTTCATTTATTTCAATTGTAATTGAAATTGAAATAAATGGGTGTCTGATTTTTTAATAAATTAATAGAAGATCTATTTCAGGTTTGTATTCACGTTTTTAATTGGAAATGTAAAATTACAATGATTATTTAAAAGAACAACACGCAAGTTTCTTGCTCGTTCTTCTTGTGATGAGACAGCTTTCCGAATGAGCGGTAGATTAAAAGAATGATAACTATGACTATTCAAAAGTGCTTAAATTAAGTTTATTTGAATAAATGATTTTCTATTTTATTATATTCTATCATAGCGTCAATTAGCATTTCTTAATGAAAAAACTATTTCAGTAAATGCTGAGGTTTTGATGCTGAAAACAGTGTTTTGTATACTTTATTTTTGTTCAACAAAACTGTAGTTGTCAACCCTAGTTGCGGGTTCACCTCCTTTATAGATCGCTAACGTTTAATTTGCATATTGAATCTGTATTGTACGGTTTTTTAACGGTAATTAAAATGCATTAATTTAGAAAATAGCTTTTTTTAATTACTCAACTATGTTGTGTACACCTCTATGGTCTAGCGGTTTAGGACACCGCTTTTATTCCAATGGTCGGTTCGATTTTTCGCATGGTACGACTTATTATATTATCTACATATACATATAAATAAAATTGGAGTGTCTGTTTGTAATAATGAAATAACCGTTTTTTACTACATGCATATGAATATAAATACGGTACATACACCAAAAAAACATTTTTCCAATTTTTGTCTGCCTGTTTCAGAGGCGAAACACGTGTTGCACGTCGTTGTAGATTCAATAACAATCAGAGAAGGGGATTGTTAGTAATTTGGACTATTTTTTTTATTGGGGGCTTTATTTGAGGTTTGGTTTATTGTCAGGGGCTATGACCTGTAGCACTGCGACCTGTATAGATCTATTGTGCTCGCCCTTATTCAAAGTTCGCTACCTATACTTGTAGGGACAAGAATTGAAGGATATTCTTAAGATTAGGGTTTTTTTTTTATGGATGATAATGGTATGGTGTACCCGCCTGCGCTAACGGTTTACGCTGGCGGGGCATCA